TTTTCTCCATTTCTCCAGAAGTGGACCAAGTGACGCCAGGAAGAACATTAATTGTCTTTGAACCGATGCCTCGGAAGCAACAATCCGCAGCAGCCGCCGGGACATACATGTAGGCGCAGGAAAGGATAGATTGAACAAGGGAGAGAGAGAGTCACAGGTCGGTTATAAGGAGTGAGACTATTGTTTATGCCGTTTACATCACAAGCCGTGTTCGGTTACTACATGTATCCGCAAGGATGGGGGAACATGCAAGGAGCCGTGCTGGGTAAGAGGGACAGAACACGGCGTTCATATCCGGGTAACAAAATGCTGCCTTGTTTTTTTATTCCCTGACGCATGAGATAGGTTACAATAATCAAAAAAGTTTTAAAAGAGGAACTTGACGCCGGACGCAGCGCGGAATCGAAGCCCCGCCCGTTGTGTAATGATGAAGGTGTACTGCGTAATTAATATAGCCACAAAAGCATCCTTGTGATAGTCCAGACGGAACAACCCGGTTGGAAAGGCTGCCACTTATGTATGGAAGTGATCGGCTTCAGCTGGATTCTCCCAGCCCCCTCCGAGGGGCTTTGGGCTTTTAAACCGGAAACTTTGTACTGCTAAACGGGACGGGGATGTTTGATGCCCCGTGACTACAGTACGTGGGGATTTGTCGGGTGTTTTCCTTGCTGGGAGAGTGTTCCGCTCGCCAATAGTCAAATGGTAGAAAGGATCGGGTATTAGGGGGAAATACTTCATTCCAGACCCTTCCAAGCCGTCCAAGGTCCGAAAATTTCGTATAATATTTTTTGCTACAGTGCAATTTCTTCAGGAATCTGAGTGAACAGACTCTCCCGCAACAGGCGACAGGTGAAAGCCGTGTGTGGAGCGGTCGGGGTTGGGAAAATGCGAAAGCGAGTACCGCAACCGGCGTGGCAAGGAAATATTGGGATCCATTGAACTCCTTTTCTAGACCCACAGAGGACGTGCGAGAAAGAGAGGGAGAGAGATATGGCCACTCAGAAGCCTTTGATCCGTATGACTGTGACGAGTCCTCGCACCGCGTTAACTCCGACCTGGCAACCTCTCTTTGCTCCACCTATCTGGGGTTCTGGAAACGAAAAAACCGTGGCGGTGGCTCAGAATCCCGAGAGTGGAGGCCACTTTTTTCCCAATTTCTGCTCACCTTGGCCCGGTTATGGGTTAACGCCAAGGGCTTGAGAACTAGCCTGGGAGTTACAACCGTTGCCTGGTTTCGTGAACTGGTGGCGTGGAAGTGACTGTCCGATGATCCTTAGAGAAGGTTTGCAAGAGTATACCTTTGCATGCGTCTAAGTAGTAATGTAGAGGGAGTGTGCCAATTCTATGCCGATCCAGCACCTTACGTGAGGTGTAAGGCTGTCTAGATGGGTCGGGAGTGAAACCAGGGCCAATGCTGCCCTCCTCGGCTTATAGAGACTAATAAAACTAACAAATTCGACGAATGAAGTCGGGGGGCACTCAACCATGGGATTCCGGTCGTACACGGGACATGGGAAATACTCGAGTTAAGAGGTGGATTCTGGTATTCCCTATACTTCCCTCTTATTGGCGATATCAGACACGGTTTGCCTTCTTACATAAGAATGCACCATTCTTAGCGGTTATCCCTGCCTGGGCCTCAAGTGATCTTCTTTCTCCCATTATTGGTGCCCTTACCCTTTGCTTTTCTCTTCCCACCCCCCTTTAGCCCTTTTTCCTTTGCAGGACGGAGGCGTACATGCTTGCACTTCCCACCTCGCATAACACGGTTTTTTGCGTAATTTACTGTACTAAACCTCTGGCCTTAATTCTTGGTAACCTATGAAACTTCACTTCTTTCATTTCACTTTGAATTCTGATTTTCACTTTTTTCCATATTATTTTCACTAGTCGTTCCGAACACAGTCCTCGCTTTTTAGGGTCAACATCACTTACCTTTCTAGGCACACACCCACTTACATTTTTTAAATTCATTTTCATTTTATTTTCCAAGACAATCTAGATTGACCAAACCGGACAAACGAAAGGAGGATCAACCTGGACCTGCGTCCGGGTCAAACTCTCTGGCTCTCGCTTTCTCCGGGTGGGACTTGGATATGATGCTTTGACTTGCTATAATTTTCGTCAATTTATTTTATTTTTCACTTCCGTTTTGATTTTTTTTATTATTATTTTTCCCTTGTGGAGCTTGGATCTCTACTGGTTTATCTTCCTTAGGCCTATCGTGGTCACTGTATATACATCATTCACTCTGCCCCTCTGGTCTATATTCACACCCTTTTCTCCTTGATTGCATTCCAATTGAGGGTGACTACTCACTGAATAGGAACATGGGTCACTAAAAACTCGGCCCTCTCCGCCTTTGATTTGCTTTGATCGTGGTTCCTAAAAAAAACGCCATTAAACACCACATGTGTCGACCTTCCATTCTTTCCCTATGTCTTCAACTGCCGACTTCCACTCTTCTACAACTCTCCCCCTGACTGAGGACAAGGCCCTGGATACCTCGGCCTTTTGGACTGTTCCTTTTCGGAACGGTCTACCTACACCTCCCAGCGACATGACCGGGGTCACCTACAATGCCATGCCATCAGTTCCATATGGGAAGCCGAACGGCATGCCTTCCCACCTCTACAGTCATCGCCCTTTCGATTCTATCTCATCATCGATGATGGCCGTTATGAAACCGCAAAGTCATTCCGCACCGGCCAAGGAAGCCCCGGAGCCAACGGCGCAAAAGAAGTCGAATACATCAGGATCGCAACTCCGGATACCCTCGTCCATCAACAACAGCAAGGGAAACCTGGCCGAGTTTGCAGCTCAAGTGAGCATTCACAAGTTTTATTTGTCACGCGAGATCATGCTAATCGTCACTAGATGACCTGCCTATTCTGGTTCGAAAAGACCTCCAAATTGCAAGCCATCGAAGATCGCCAGCATCCTGTGCCTTCCCTGGTCGCCGAAGCGATGCCTACTCCCGGATTTCAGAAATGGGTGGCTACAATTTTATCGACTACACAAGTTAGCCAAAATGTCATTCTACTGGCACTGCTATTTATCTACCGATTGAAGAAGTTCAACTCGGGGGTCAAAGGCAAGAAAGGCAGCGAGTTCCGCTTGATGACGGTTGCGTTGATGCTCGGCAATAAATGTGAGTTCTTATCGCTTCACCGCCCGGAGATTGGAAATGCTGACTCAGCTTAGTTCTGGACGACAACACCTACACCAACAAGACGTGGGCTGAAGTGTCGGGGATTGCTGTGCATGAGATTCACATCATGGAGGTCGAGTTCCTCAGCAACATCCGCTACGACCTATTCTCCTCGGAGGCTGCATGGGCCCGGTGGCACACCAAGCTAGGTTTGTTCGGTGAATACTTCAACCAAGCGTCAATGTTGCCTACCGAATCGGCACCTATGCTCCAAATCTCGCCGCCCCGGATGCAGTCGCAGTCGCCATCCTCCAAGTTACCGTCGCCTCCGGGCACCGACTCGTTGCGCCCCCACTCGCAACCCAACTGGTATATGCCTCTCAACGGACTGCCTTACAGCCTCCCGCCACAGCCTGCGATGGGAAGCTCCCGGAAACGCAGCCGCGATGAGGATGATGAACTGCACCCAACTAAGCGGCTTGCAATGTCCTCCGCCACCTCGGCTCCTAGTATGACGGTCCCGGTGACCATGAGTGCGATGCCTACTCTGCCTCCAGTTCCGACTCCAACCTCTGCCCCGGTGGCGCAAATGGTCGGAAATTCATCTCGTCTCCCGCTTCCTCATCTTCCCACCTCCAATCCGATGCCTCAGTCGCTTCCTCCTAATGCGGCTTCTCAACTCCCCGCTATCATGCCTCCTATCTACAACCGGCCTACGAACTGGCAGCAGATGCCTCCCCTCAGCGTGCCTTCGATGACATCGGGCATGTACACGCCTACGCTTCCCGACCTAGGCCGACACCACCAGGGCCCATTCGGCGTGTCCTCTGCTGCAGTTTCACCGGCTGCTTCCGCCTACTCCGTCCACACCCCTCAGACACATCTCTCCCCGTCATTCTTCCTCGCCAACCGCAACTCGCCTTACCGGCCTGTACGCTCCGTCCACACCCTGTTGATTCCACCTCCGTCGAGCTCCCTTCAGCAGCAGCGCAGTGTGCCGTTTGACCACATGCACTACCAGCCACTCGGCAAGGGTCATACCTCCCGCAAGACCGGCCTCTTGCCCTATAACCAGCCCGACGCGTGGAGCCAGGCTCCTTACCTCCAACCTATTTACCCGCCGACCAGTTACTCTGGTTGAAGTCTCACCTCACTCATTTTACAACTCCCATCTCCTTGTTTACGACTTCACCGCGTTACGACCTCGACGAGAAGCCAACCAAAAACTCCCATTCGCTGTACATCTTTTTATCCCCTTCTCTTGCTTGTCTTTTCTATCTATCTATTCCTGTACACACCTTTTGCCTTTTCGCTTGTCACGATTCTACCTTGCATCTCTTGGGCGTTTCTTTTTAGATTTGCTTGCCTCCCCGAACATACTTACAGTCGGGGTTGGTATATTCGGCGTTATTCCTGGTTTATTCTTTTATTCTCTGGAGGTGCCTCTTGAGCACTATCGGTTTTTTGCTACTTGCATTTGCATACATGGAGTTGCTAGTTAGTGCCCCTGCAGAGCTAAGAGCTGACACTAGATTTTACAACCCAGTACTTTCTTTTCCCTTTTTCGTAGTGAAGTATAGATCATGGAGTAAGAAACATGGTCATCGTTGGTAATATATCACCACTCAATAACCTGAACACACTAATAGATTAACGCATATGAAATTTATGCATAAACTCTTTACCCAACAATCAAGACCAATAATTCCTGAGTTTCCCTAAGTGAACAGCCAAGTCAAATCAAAACTGTAGAGTTAGGGCCCGGGACCGGAACAAAGATAACCCACCGGAACAGAGAATCTTGAAACTCCGTCCCTAAACCAACCCAACCAAGAACCATCGTCACACCATGCCCCGACTGATGGCGCTGCCATCGCAGCTACAGCAATTTGCCGCCAGGCCTATCCTCCAACAATCCTCCCCGCTAGCCTTCCTCCTCCCGCAATCCCGCAATGCCTCAATCCTAGCCTCTCTCTCCGACAATCCCTCCGCTTACAACAAGCGCATCCGGAGAGGTCGCGGTCCATCCTCAGGCAAGGGCAAGACCTCCGGTCGCGGTCACAAGGGCCAAGGCCAGCACGGCAAAGTCCCCGCTCGCTTCAATGGTGGTCAGACGAAGGATATCATCGTTCACGGTGAGCGTGGTGGTGTCAACATGTAAGTCCTACACAACTCTTCCCAAACCCCTAACCACCCATATCAACAGCCTCTAATATAATCGCATTCCTCCAGCTTTTCCGTCGACATGGCAACAGTCAACCTAGACCGCATCCAATCCTGGATCGACCAAGGCCGCCTAAACCCATCCCTCCCAATCACCGTAAAAGAACTCCACAGCTCTGGCTGCATTAACCGCCCAATCGACGGTGTCAAAATCCTAGGCGATGGCGGCGACTCTCTAAAACAACCCATTCACATTGTCGCCTCGCGCGCTTCCGCCTCCGCTATCAATGCCATCGAGGCTCTTGGCGGTTCTGTCACTACGCGCTACTACACTGCTTCTTCTATTCGACGCATTCTGGCTGGTGAGACGCATTCGTTTATTTCTGAGCAGTGGGATTTGAAGTCTGGATCACCGGGGTTGTTGGAGGCTGCTGCGGCGGCTTATCGCGCTGCGCAGCCTTCCGAGACTGCTCAGGCTTCTGGAGAGGGAGCTCAGGCTGTTGATGTTGATGTTTTGGAGGTTGCTACTGGCAAGTATCGACTTCCTGACCCGACTAAACGTCGGGATATTGAGTACTATCGTGACCCTGCCCACCGCGGTTATTTGAGTCATTTGCTTAAGGGCTCAGAGGGTCCTAGTTTGTTCTTCCGTTCTTCTGAGGAGAGGAAATCTGCTGCTGGTGTTACGAAGAAGAAGGTTTTGCCGGAGAACAGACTCTGGTAGATGGTTTGATAGGGTTCTTTTGGTCTTTGTCCCCCTATTGTGTCTACTGTGCATGTTGCATTTGTTTTGAGTACACCCATTTTTGTATATGTATCAATAGCTGTCGGATATGTTTGGCTATGCAATTTAGAAATTTAGCCTTTCCATTTATTTCTTTACCTGGTAGGGCTACTAGCCTAGAGAGACTCAATATTTATATAGCAGCCCTAAATTATTCATGCAAAGTATAGATTGCACGAGCATAGCCATATCATTCTTTCCTATGAGCAGGACGGACCAGCCACCCAAGCAGATATCTCACAGATCGAATGAACACATAAATCCAGCGGTAAAACGCGAGAACAGAACCCGCACGTGTAAAAGTACAGCACATAAAAGAAAAATAAAAAATTGGACAGAAAAAAAAAAGAAAGAAACGCCATGCTGCCATCCCGCATGTAAAAATCATAATCATCCGTCTCGTGATGCCTTACCCAATACCTAACCCGAGATAGAAAAAGCAAAAAAAAAAAAAAAAAAAAAAAAAGGAACCCAAAACGAAGAACGCGCTGTGAAAATGGATATCGAGAGTAGATCGTTAATAACGGCAAATGCTGACAGTCTGAAGAAGAAGAAACGAATGGGTATCATAAATGGCCGAGAAACTCTCAATAACAGCGCTTGTAAACCATGGGGCGCCGGAAAGAGAGCCATCACCTTATTTATATCGGGATTGATGTAGATGAAAGACACTCCCAGTTTGTTGAAGCGTATGGGACGTGGAGGGATGGAATAGAGGGATATTTGGTATAGAGTAATAGAAACTAGAGACGTTCATAGTTTCCACACGGCGTCGGAGGGTTCAGTCTCGGCGATTTCACGTAGCCAAGCGCATGACATGATGTCACTAACGGTCCAGCGCTTGTTCATGTCCATTTCGAGACAGCCTCGGATCAGGTCGAGAGCATCCTGGCGACCCTTGCGAAGAGCCGGATCTGTAACCTCACCCAAAACTGCATCTTGGTTCCAGGTGCCGCTGAGAATATTTGCTTGGATGCGAGGTGCGAATGCATCTTGGAAGGGACGTGAACCAACCACTACAGTGAAGACGATGACACCGAATGCCCAGATGTCGACTGAAGGGTGGATCACGCCGTCTTCTGATAGGAGTAGTTCGGGAGATGCATATTCCAAGCTGCCTGCGACACTGGTACTGGAACCCGCGGGACCGATTTGTTTGGGCGGGGGACGGTCAGCTGCGTCGTCGTAGGGATCCGGGGAGTCGCCGCCATCGTCGATGGACATCCATTCTGCCATCCCGAAATCGCAGAGTATCAAGGTCGAAGAGGTTGTGCCGTCTGCAGCTTCGATGGGATCGAGCAAGCAGTTCTCAAGCTTGATGTCTCGATGAACAACGTGGGCATCGTTGTGGAGGTAGCGAATAGCACTGGCTAACTGGTAGGTGTATTTCTTTGCAAGATGTGTGTCAAGACCTGATCGGTTTTGACGCACAAGGTCGAAAAGAGTACCACCAATAGCAAACTTGGTGAAGCAAAACGTGGCGTATTCTGTTTCGTACACGGCATCGAGCGTAAGAATATGCCGGTGGTTTAGATACCGCCAGACTCGCACTTCGTGGTCAAACTCTGCCTGTACTTCATCGTTTTCCTTTTCGCTCCGGTCTGTAATGTGTTTTTTTACAATCTTGACTGCAAGTCGTTTGGTTTCACCGTGCTCTTCAACCTTATAGGCCTCTTTCACGGTGCTGAAACCTCCAAACCCGATTTGCTTTCCAAGGACATAGTCTGTTCCAACCATTTGCCCCTCGTCATCGGGCTGTGGAGCAGGCTCTTCATGGTTGCTCCACATGGAAAGAAACATGCTGGCGGGTGATTTCCCACTGGAGGCAGTGGATCGTCGTGAACTGTGCCGCGTAGAGTTGCGAAGACTGCTACTGCGGTCGAGAGCAGAATTGCGAGGCTTACTTCCGAAAGGGGTCATGATGCTCCCGGACCAGGAGCTGCGATCCTCTGGCGATGGGAAAGATTGATTTGGCGATGTCATGCAAAACGGCGACAGCATCGTGGAGTTGGAATCATCGGGCGGTGTTCGCAGCTCGCTCGTAGTCGGAGAGACTGTTGATTGCGACGTAAGTGATGTCGGATGATCCAGCTCTGTTCCCGCGGCTGAAGCATCTTCGGCTTTCACAAAGGGCCGCGGTCGGGATTGTCCGGTCGGGAAGCCCCGATCCTGGGATCGTTTGGTACTCCTCATAGAGTCGTGCTGCGAATCGATGGACTCGTCATCCTGGGAAAGAGCATTTCTGAGTCCTGAGCTGCGAGACTCGAATCGTTGCGGTGGTCGGTCCTTCACATCGCCAGTCGAAAGTGGCTCCTCCAGAGGGATCTGATTACCCGAGTCCACAGAGACCTTCGGGTTGAAACTGATAGAAGGTCGACGGGATTGCAAATAGCTATCGAGTGGAGAGCCTTCGATATCGTCGGGCTTGTGTGGGAAGTTTTCATCGTTGTCCGTTGGTTGCTCGTCTGGGCGAGGGACAGAAATGGGAGGGGTCGCTGAGTGGAGATCACTTAACACACTGTGGTCTTCATCAGTATCGCGGCGACGCGCGTTGTAATCATGAGATTCATTGATGTGGTCGCTCTCGATACCATCGCCCTCTTCTGTCGCTCTCCTCCCATCTTCATTCCCCCATCGGGGGTTGTTTCGATGAAATGAAGTTTCAATCCTCAAGCCTGCCAATCCATGCGCAAGTCCGTTCCTCTCAGTGTGCGCCATGCCCTAACAGGGCACGGAGAAGGCTATGTCGGTTGTTGTGAGCACTGAACAGGCTTGCAGTAGGGTTATACAACCCTCTGCGGTGCTGTGTGTTTCTTGAAACGAATATTGCGGGGGTGATAGCGTCGGAAGTGGGGACAAAACGGTTGATACTATCAGTAGAGGTAGAAATGAAGAGTTTGTAAGATCAAATGTGAAGAAAAAGGTCGAAGTGATTCAAAGTGGGTACAAATAAAGGTATAGCAGAGGGAATCAAAAGTGAGGTATTGGTAAAGTACCTGGGGAGGGGACTGGGAAAAGTCGGGTTGTATGATGACGCAGCGAATGAGCTTAACGGTTCCACCCGGGAGTCCCGAGATCAGCTGACCTCATCTGATACTGTGGCCCTAAGCCCTAAATTCCCAAATGGGACAGTTTCAGGGGTCACAGAGCCATGATTAGCCGCGCGCAAGGGGCGCTTGTTTGGAAGCACCTCCTTTTGGTTACTGGGGACGTGAAAGGAGACCCTATTCAGACTCGACGTCCACACCTCTTTGTTCATTTGTTGTTGTCTCATTCTTGATGTCACTCTGGCAGTAATTCTTTTTCTTTGCGTCCACCTCGTGTCGCCCGCCTGTGCTGAGGACGTGCAGCGCAGACCAGCCCCCACTATTCTCCAAGGGTGCTGTCTCTCCTTCGGGTCAATTCAACGTCTATTTGGTGACCCCGACCGATAGTTGACCGCCTGGTACTCGTGCCGCTCCGAAATTCAGGAATTCCGGAGACTGGCGCACCTTGTTTGTCCGGCGCTTCTCTTTCACTTCCATACTTCTCGACCGCTAGTCACTCCTTGCACTCACGACTTGTTTCACTTCAATTGTCCTCGATAACACACTCGTTTTAAGCGGCAACATGACGAGACCCCAGATAATCCGAGCTGGTATGTTTTATGCGTCTGTCGCGAAGCCAGGTTCCGTAGTCGAGTACTGACCGCTATGTCTCTTAGATACCTTGGATCTCCAAGACCACGATACGCCCTCTGCACAAGATCACTCTAAACAACCCGAACATCCAGAGCCTCTTGGGAGCGGCCGGCCTGCACCCCATCAAGAACTCGCCATCCGTCAAGCGGATCAAGATTCGAAGTCGGAAATAAAGGGTGGTCCCGACAAGAACAATGAATACCGCAATGGAAAGGACGTATATCGCGAGCCCGATGACGACGAAGATGAGGACGGAGACCACTACGACCACGAAGACGGTGATCTGGCAGACGGCGAAAGTGATGATCTGATGGACGACGATTTGATGGACAAAATATCCAGCTCTCCCAGTATTGATGATGGTGCGGAATCTCGGTGACTCTTGAGAAGACCATTGCTGACGATGTGCAGAGGATATCGATTTCGAATTCGTCTATGCGCTCCACAACTTCGTCGCTACTGTCGACGGACAAGCAAATGCTGCCAAGGGCGATACCATGGTTCTTCTTGATGATAGCAACAGCTATTGGTGGCTGGTTCGCGTGGTGAAGGATGGGAGCATCGGTATGTTGTATTCATCGGTTTCATGTGGCTTTTATTGACTCGAACAGGATACCTCCCTGCGGAGCACATCGAAACGCCAACCGAAAGACTGGCCAGATTGAATAAACACAGAAACGTGGATGTATGTGCTGCCATTAGAGTGTTTTCGAAGCCGCTTCTAATTTTAATAGCTTTCTGCGACCATGTTGGGCGATAACAACGAGAAGTCGAAGAATCCTTTGAAGAAGGCCATGCGCCGCCGGAACGCAAAGAATGTCAATTTCGCACCTCCTACATACATTGAAGCATCGGATGTTGAATATTCCAGCGACGAAGACTCCGAACATGGCGACTTTTTCAACGACGATGAGACCCTCGACGGAGAAGAGGAAGATGCGCAAGATCAGAGCGAAGATATTGTCGTCGAACCACTCCGCCCCAAGGGACAGAAAGAGAAGACCGCAGAACATGCCGATATCCAGGGCTCGCAAGACAGATCTGAATCACAGCGTTCAAGCTCTGACCGACGCCCATCAAGTGAAGAATTCTTTGAATCGGAAGGTTAGAACGCTCTCTATTGTTCTCAGGCGGTATTTGAAACTCACTTTGCAAAACAGAACCCACTGTCAGTAGATCCAGAAATGGCACTGTACGAAACACCGACTCGTTCTTCAAAGACGACACAGCCGAGCCCAAGAAGATTTCTCTCACCCCCAACTTGCTGCGCGATGAATCCGGCGGCGGCGGCGGTGGCTTGGCCGAGTGGAAAGAGGTAGGTTTTCACGAAATGACCAAAAACCAGCATGCTAACTCTGGTAAAGCCTCGTGGAAGTTTCGAGTCCATTGAAAAGGGATCCAACTCACAGGACAAACTCAAGGAGGACAAGAAGCGAAAGGATAAAAAACCTGGAATGCTCAGCGGACTATTCAAGCGGAAAAAGAGCAAAGATGAAGTCGACGAGGGAGAGAAATCTTCCGCAGACGCGTGCACATCGCCCCAATCAAAGACCTCGATGGAGTCCATTTCATCAAAGTCCTTGTCACCCGAACAACGACCCATCAAACATCAACCTCAATCCCAGAAGGACACGAACAAAAAGATACAGAAGCAACATCCAGGGATCACGAAGGTTGACACGGAGCTGGACCCTGCAATGTCCGAATATTCCAAGCATGAGACCAAACAGAGTGGCGACAAGACTATCCGAAAGGTGACATCGCAGGAAGAGGAAGCCTTCGAAGAGTGCGACATTGTACTGTCATCTCCTGTCAGCCAACACAGTCTTTCTAGGGATCCCTTTGCCACTCCCGTTGAATCCAGGAACGTCTTGGCTTCGCCTATTGAACGCACGTCTAGTGAAGTGCAATGGAGAGGTCACAGCGAATCTTCTCGCGCAACCGAATCAACCTCTCTCACATCGCCACCTCAGAAGTTCACTCCTAAGTTTGCGTCTAGAGATCATGGGACCGAGTCCCCCGTCAACATTTCTCCTGTGGAGGGATACATCCCTGTTGGCGCCCCAGGCTTGACCCTGGACGCCTCACCGCAAGGAGTGCGTTCTCTTTCACCGCCATCACCGCCGTCCTCGCCCGGAGTTGATACCAATTACCACAAGGGTAGCACCGCTACTCCTGGATCTATGGACACTCTTTCCGTGGACACACCTACCTGGAGCGACTCCAGTCTACGATCGTACATGGACGAAGAAAATGACATTCGCGACTTGTTTATCATTGTCCATGACAAATCAAATGTTCCTCCTGCTGGTCCCGACCACCCCATTACTGGCCGTCTCTTCAAGGAGGAAAGCAAGCGACTTAAGGAAATGAACAACCAGCTTGATGAGATGCTTGTGAGCTGGATGTCACAACGCACCAGTAGCTCTGCCTCAGCGCGAAGCATGCACAACCCAACCTAGTTGGGTGTATATGTTTCATCACTTCTGTTGATAGATTTCCAGGGTCGCAGATTTGGCGGCACTGCCAGGAGGCTTTTGAATGTGCTGTGCGCATCACTTTTGGCCGGCCCTTCTCTTCACCTTTTCTTTTCGTTTACCTTGCCATCCACTTGGCGCAAGTTTCTGCATTTTCCATCGTCTCGGTTGAGCGATGTGATTCTGAATGTCCTCATGGCCAGCCCTGTTTACATGTTTTCCATCTTTTTCATTTCACCGGAATACCCCCGACTCATCCGTGTTTAGTTCTCTGCTTCATTTCATTCTGTCATCTGCAGTTGTTAAGATGACGTATCCAATCTCAATCCTTCGTAGAATAAAATAAACATTAAGACAAAGACAAGTCATTGGAGGGCAAGCGCATTCCAGAGGGTCGTGCGGGCAGGTCAGCCGCGCCATGATGTATAACCCCTCTAGTCATCAGACAGTCTGACATATAATCCATTTCCTTCTCCAACAACTCCAACCTCACCTTTTAACCATGGCAGATCCATACAACCCATACAGTTCATACTCCACGCCCGCCCCGGGCGGCGTAAGCTACTATCCTCCAGAGGATCAATCTCAATACAATGCAAATCCATACCAACAGTCATACGGAACCGCAGAACCACAGCCAATGCAAGACCAGGGCCATGTCTATCCCCCACAGTCCAACCCGTACAACCTCGCTGCAGAACCTTCTGCGCCAAGAAGTCACGCTTCTACCGGTCAGCCCAACTACCTTGCTCCCGGTGCTCCAGCGAACCCGTATGCTCGCAGCGGCGAGAACTTGGGATACTAGTAAGTACCAACACCAACATAAGACAAAATAAATCCATACATGTCTCAATGCTGACTTGAAACAAGCAACGACCACCCGGCCGAGCAGCCACGCTACACACCCTCTGCAAGCCCTCACCCGCCCGCAGTCTATGTATCAGACCATGATACACGCCGCGACAAGATGAGAGAACAGCGCTCTGACAATGAGCATGTGGGCTCGGACAGAGAGACTGATCGTGGTCTGGGGAGTTCGCTGGCTGGTGGTGCGGCTGGATATTACTTTGGTCGTAAGAAGGATCATGGCTTGCTTGGTGCTATTGGCGGTGCGATTCTGGGGAATTTTCTTGAGGATAAGGTGAAGGATCATAAGAAACATGATCGGGATGATGACTCTGAGCATCGGCATGGACGACATGGTCATCATCATCACCATCATCATCATCGGAGTCATTCGAGGAATAGTGATCATAGTGGGCATAGTGGACATTCGCATCATTCTCATTCTCGTTCTCATCATGGTAGTCACTCGAGACATCGGGGTGAGGATGAGTATTGAGTGGTGAAGTGGTTTTCGTCTCGATGGTTTTTGTTTCTCTTTGGTCATGCAATTCAGTCCTCGGGTCTGGATATGAGTTGTGCTTTGTGATGCTTGACGGGCTTGATATTGGTTTACAATGAGCTCATTTTTCTGCTGTTTCTTGTTACTTTCCTTTTTGTCTTTGTATTTGCTAGTTTCTTTGTATCTTGATATGTGGAGTTTTACGACGTTATGACCACGATATAAATCTTTAGCTAATCGAGTTTCTATGCGATATTCATATCTTGAGTGAAGTCACCCCAGCACTGTCTATGATATCCAAAGCAACAGTAGGGCACTATAAGCCTAAGTTACATATTGACTGTTTGATTGAGTACAGCCATGAAAAAGTTGCCAAAGGGTACCGTATGACCACCTTTTGGCTTCTAAGTTCCATGTTGTTATATCACCTGTTAAGCCATCACTAGTAGTCACACATATACTTAGGACTCTTGGGTTGACATCTCTTTGCAGACTAAACAAATGCTTCAAGGTTGACATCCCTAATTGAGGCAGCAAATTCCTTATCCGATCCATTTATACTATTCTAATTCAACCCTTTCATATCTGCCAGAAATGATGACGTACAGATATAAAGCCTTCAATGTTACATTCATCTATTAGGTATTCAAGTAATGTTACTAAATGGGGCGATTTACATGATTCACATACTTCCCCACGCCTGATAGGACCCCGGACCCTTATCATGAGTCATCCGATCAGCCCCGAGATAAGGGAGCTCTCGTGACACTTCAGTGTGACCGGTTCCTCCTTTCTCTTCCTTTTATTACTTCTTGGCTTTGTTTACTCTTAGATTTAGACTATACTTCCTCCTCTTCCTCCTTCACCTACTCTCCCTACTACCCCGGATTGCTTATCGCCTATCGCTTTCACCCCGTATCCGCCCTGTGCACACACTGTGCACATCACATCAGCACGATACAGCTCGACATTAGACATACACATACATAGACCATGTCTCCTCCATTATTACACAGCCTCCTTTCTGCGTCACTGCCCGACCACTGTGAACCGACTTCGCCCTTCCTGACCGCCGTCTCCTCGCATCTCCACATCTGCATCCCCACACCTCTAGCGGCGATCTCCTCCGTTCTCGGAACCCTCAGCATTGTCTCCTGGCTCTTCGCCCAACTGCCCCAAATATTCAAGAACTTCCAGCTGCAGTCAACTTCGGGCCTATCCATATTCTTCCTGGTGATCTGGTGTTTAGGGGATGCAAGCAACCTGGTTGGAGCACTCTTCACACGGCAGGCGGGATGGCAGGTCGTGGTAGCAGGCTACTATGTCCTGGTTGACATCACCTTGGTATTCCAGTTCTTTTGGTACACCCACTTGAAAGCTCGTCGAAATGGAGACTATGACGAGCTATTGCACCCCTTCGACTCAGATGGTCGAGAGATCATTCAAGGTGTATCTCCTCCTGGCCACGAAGGAAGCCACCGCACACCAGCAGCAGTCAACATGAACACCAAGGCTTCCGAAGCAAAGGATATGGGTATCCAGACCGGTTCAACCCTCAGCTCGACCGACCAGACAGCCTCCTACTCAAACGAGAAACTGAGCTCCTCACGCCGCTCCGTACGAGTGGGCAGCAGTGCTCAGAGTGCACCTTTCGTACTGCCGCGGACAATGCTGATCGCCTCGCTTCTTTGCGCTATGGTTGCCAACGCCGCTCCCACTGAAGCGCCCCACCCGCCTATCTCTCACGCGCCCAGCGAGAAAATCCTCGAGATTGTTGGCCGTATCATCTCCTGGATGTCAACAATCCTCTACCTCGGTTCGCGCCCTCCTCAGCTATACAAGAACTACCAGCGCAAGAGTACAGAAGGTCTCTCCCCTTTGCTCTTCATGGCCGCCTTCTGCGGAAACTTGTTCTACTCCACCTCCCTTCTCACCAACCCGAACGCCTGGTCGGATTTCGCGCCGTACGGCGGCGGCGGTTGGGCCGATAATCACGGCAATGACCGCTGGGAATGGATCGGACGTTCGCTCCCGTTCTTCCTTGGTGCGTTCGGTGTCCTTGGGCTGGATGGGTTCATGGGTGTTCAATTCCTCATGTACGGCGATGGCCCGGATGCCGAGGACGACGAGAGCTTCATCAGTACTGAGGAAGGTGACCAGAAGCGTGGCCGGAGCAGCTGGAAACGCGTTCGTGGTTGGATGCGTGGCTGGATTCCGTCCACTTCACCAGAGCGGGAGTCGAGAGATCTTTCGCGATCGCAGGAGGGGCAGGCTTTGCTTGGCGCGGAGCGAGGCCGGTATGGCACGGTCTAAATGATGTTCCTTTATAAATGTTTTCTTTCTTTCCCCCTGTTCACCTTTCTAGAGTGGAGCAGGCACGATGCATTGCATGATGACATGACTGGATCAAACAGATCCTCTTTTTCTTTATTTTTTTCTGTTCGGCATTATTTTTCTCGGTTATTTGGCGTTTTCGTATCTACTACATCGAGTGTGTCTCCCTTTTTCTTTGGGCTGGATAGCATAGATGGGGGATTTCCTATGAGTGTTTGGTTTTCGGGTTCAATGCATACATATCATATTCTCTCATCGGCTAGAACCGAGACATGCCCATAGCGCACGTTCAAGAATAGACCAACTATTGAAAACCCTTAACGTTAGCCGAGGGGCAAGTCCGAGAGTGGGCATTTTCTCCTAGTGCTGATGGGACCAAACTGTGGTTAGCTTGGCCGAGCTCGGATCGAGCGGTTCCTGATCGCCGCAATTCCAGAAGACTTGAATTGATGTAAATCAATCAATTTGTTAATTCTAGATAACTTATTCAAATCGGACTACAATGTACAATAGTGACAAACCACCAAATCACTGCCCCTGAGCAACTGAGCGACCGAGCGACTGAGACAAGACAAATATAGCCGCCCGCTGACACCCCAAACCCAAGCCCTAACTCCCCCAACACGAATCCCAATTTCCCCATTCAACAGCCACCCGATGCACACAGCAGAAACAAGGCCAAGTTCCTCAGCCAGAACCAGCCAAAACCATGCAGGAACCAATACCCCTACCCAGTATTAGCCAAGACTCTCGCTACAACTTGCCAGACAGACCAAAGACTAACCTTCCGAGTGGAGTCAACGCCACTAAGCCAGATGGCAAAACCACAACGGTCATAGCATCACCCCAGAAATTGCCTAGCATTTTTAGCATGTATATATAAAGTCCCCGTCAAAGGACCCGCAAGGACCCTTTTTTCGGCATTCCTTATTGAAAACTCGAACAACGACCCCGTGTCGCTTCGTTTTTTTCTCGTCGTCCGTCCTGTAGTGGTGTTTTCACCTGTCCATTCGTTTTGAATTACTTTTTATAAACATACCATCGCAATCATGATGGTCCCTGCCCGTTTGATGTGGCTTGCCCATGTCCTGCCAGCTGCTGCTCTTACTATCACTTCGCCGCAGACGACCCCTGCCGCCGTGGCGTCTACTTCTACTTTGACGAGCTGCGGATCCGGAAACTTGATTGAGAATGGCTCTTTCGATGATACTGATATTGAATCTGGGGCTACGTGGACAGTCCTTCCTGGTGGAAGTGTCCAGAACGGTTACTTGTTCGTCCCTCATACATGTTCATACTTTGATATGGATATCAACCCTGCTGGTCAAGCATGTTATACTAACATAACGTCCCCAATCTAGACACTTGAACTCGGAACAAGTCAGCTCACAGACTGTCATGCACCATGCCATCTCCGGTGCGCTCAGCGGACAGGTTTACAAGTTCTCTATGGATTACCGCCAGACAGCTGGCCCCAATGGCCTAGCGTCTACTTGTGATGTGGAGATCATGCTCAATGGCGCTACTGTTGATGACAGTACGCATTCGATTAATCCGGAGTTCGTGACCATCTCGAAGGAGTGGACTGCTGATGGTTCGGATGTTGATGTTATGATCCTGATTGAGTGTCCTAATGCTGATGCCTCGTCGACTGTTGTCGATGTTGATAATATTGTTCTAGAGGGTGTTTGCTCTTCGGCTTCATCTTCTTCGGTGGCTGTTTCGACTCCTGTTGCCTCTAGTGTGCCTGTTTCGACGCCTGGTTCTCCGTCTGCGTCTTCTTCTGCGTCACCTAGCTCCCACGGCTCTGAATCGTCAAGCAGCGCCAGTGCTGGTGTATCCAGCAGTCCAGTTGCTTCCCCATCCGCTGAGCCCAGCTCCAACGGATCCTCGTCGAGCGGAATTAATACCACCCCGGTTTCTGTCCCTTCGTCCTCCCCTTCATCTTCCGTCCATATCACCGTCACCGGACCTGCAAACACTGCCTCTAGCAGTGATGTCCAGTCCTCCGGCGCCGGCCAGGCTACACCCACCCAGGTCACCTCCTCCCCTGCCGGAACTCCTACCCAGGATATGACCACCTCCACTGTGTTTGAGACCCGTACTGAGACAATCACCGCTTGCCCTTCGACTGTGACCGACTGCCCTGCCACCGACAACACTACTTACATTACCACAGAGACAATCCTAGTCTCCACAACCGTCTGCCCGGTCGCCGAGAGCAGCACCACAACCACCGCTGCTGTGGACGCGCACACTACTGGCGCAGCTGGTAACGGCAACGGCAATGGAAACGGTAATGGTAGTGGTAGTGGCAACGGCGAGGTCTACACTACTTCAACAATCCTCTCAACAAGAACTGTAACCGTAACCGAATGCCCAGCCACTGTCACCGACTGCCCAGCCCGCGACAAGACGACACACGTTAAGACCGAGACCCTCGTTGCCGGAACTACTACTGTCCCCGTTGGTATTAACACTGCTGTATCGGCTTCGACTACGACTGCTATTGGTGCTGCTCACACTTCATCGGTTCCTGTTGCTACTACTACCGTTATTGTTGGTACTGAGACTAGGACTTCGACGGTCTTCTCTGTTGTTACTGTTACCGGTCCAGCTACCGGTGGTGCTAGCAGTGCTATTGAGACTGGTGTTTCTGGATCTGGATCTGGCTCGGGTGCCGGTGCTGGTTCGAATGAGTTGACTGTTTCGACTTCCTCAACAGCTAAGGTCTCGCCCATCGCCTCACCATCCGGTGCTGCCGGTGTCGGTGCTAGTGCCGGTTCTAGCTCTAGCGCTGATGCCGGTACCACCGCCAGCACCACTGCTAGCAGCAGCCCATCGCCTGTATTCAACGGCGCCTCGTCGCGTACCATCTCCGGTGCTGTCTGTGCCCTTGGCGCTGTTGCTGCCTTTGCTCTTTTCCTTTGAGTGTATATATTTGAATGTGCCGGATAGATGAGCAATATCATCCTATCATGCTGCTTGGTTGAGGCTGGGCTTGGATTACTATAATTATGAATTGATTGACATTGATATTAAGATCGATATTGATATTTGGTCGTCATGATAATGTAATGAACGCTCCTGAAATCTCACTTCCGGGGTGAATATATTGTAGAAGCACCCAACATCGAGATATTGGGCTACCGGTGAGCAAGTAGGTATGCTTTGTACAGAGGGAGATTGTATAGCTCTTAGAACCAATTATACCTTAGCACTCTATATACTGTACGGCTAATCATCGCGTTGAAACCTGCACAGAATTGGGGCAATAGCTGTATTACATAGATCTTGCATGGTAAACCGTAACTGTATAGCTCAGTCTGTGGAGAATAAAGAACTCCAGGTCAAATGATAGAAGACTTGTAGACCGCTTTCATAACGCTATGCACGTCGAGGTAGGCACTGGAGTGGACATGCATGTAGTAACCGCATCCATAAGAGGCCCATCCTGCCCTGATCTTACTTGACTTTCTATGACAAGCATCTAGCCTGAAACACAAACCCCGAATCATTATCTCAAAGCCTGAGCACAATGCCAGGTACGCTGTACTTCTGTTTATCGATACGATTACCGAGGGGACATTACATTGACTAATACGGTATCTACACTCTTCCTTTGAATTCACCACTTTCCAACTCCACTTCGATGATCACGACAGAACAGAGAGGAGTGGACATACAACAGAGGCCATAAATGTGTACATAATGCCATGAAGTATTAGATAGTTTCTATACGAAAGCCTCGAAGCGAGCGTACCGTTTTATATATTGTTTTTCGCCCTACTTTAGCCTCTATGCTTTCATCTCTTTTTCGCCTATGTTGAGTGCCTCGGGTTAATCATCTAGATCATGTAAAGGTGGGAGAGGGAAAAGACTTATGACCCTTGTTGTACAAGCTGCGTATAAAATAACGTTAACTTATTAGATATATCCTAAAGTCCGTGGTCCCATTTCATATCTATAGCCAAAAAGAAAACAAACATTGAGCACGGAGAGAAAGGGTAAGCAAAAAGAAGAGACAAGAAGCGAAAAAGGAGCCAGCCTTTGCCCTGCACGCGAAATGATACTTATACATAATGTGCATCGAAGCAGGGATACCTGCTCGACAGTCCCGGATTCTAGGTCTGTGTCTAATGATGTGAACACAAACATAAGAGTGGGAAGCTGAATGGGCAAGGCAGTATTAGGCAATATCTTAAGGTTAAAAGGGGGGACAATGACAAGAAAGTAGTGACACGTGGACGAGATGAATTGTATGGATGCAAGAAAGGGGAAAGGAGCAAGAGTGGAAAGATGATGTGGGGAGAAACGAGGCATATCCATTCGTTGCTTGGTAACTCATGACCGTTTTGGTTCTTTTTGCTTTTTCATGGTTTTTTCCTTTTCTCGCTTTAGACATCTGAGTTCAGTTTTCATTTCCTGCTTTAGTGCGCGCGCCATAAGACAAAAGCCTAATGGAAAACACGGGAACTCAGACAACCAAAAAAACCAAAAAGGAGCACATGGAATCATGACCGTGACACGGCGTGACCAGCACCAACCGCGCTCGTGAAGCAAACTCTGCCTGAAGACTCATCTCAGAGCTGTACAACTCAAGACAACATCACGTCGACTGACAGGCGTAACAAGTCAATTAAAACAAGGGAGATTTGACATCCTGGACACCGCGGCGGATGACATCCTCGATGCGCCAGCGAGGAGGGGTGAGGTGCTCTGAGCGCCTGCGGTGCCATTCCTTCTCCATCTCTGGGGGAGGAGCAGATTGTTCGGCGGCAGGGAGTGCACCACCAGCAATACCAGTGGAGAACTTCAGCTGGAGGACATTGCCAATTTCGTCACAGGCAGTCAAAACACGGTCCAGGTCCTCCTTGGTGTGGGCCGCAGAGACACAGAAACGAGCACGGGATGAAACCAGAGGAGTAGCCGGGTAGCCGACAACAACAACGGAGATCTTGCGCCGGAGCATCTCGTGGGAGAATGCAGGCATTTTAGCCGGGTTGAAGAGCAGAACAGGGATGATTGGCGAATCGTCGTGGCCGTACACTATAAAGCCAAGACGCTTCAAACCCAGACGAAGGTATCGCGAGTTGAAGGCCAAGCGCTGCAGTCGCTCCTCACCCTGGCCGGGGACCATCTCACCGCTGATGATACGCAGAGCGGAGGCGATCTGGGAAAGAACTGCCGGTGCGGGTGACTCGCCGTAGAAGACACCAGGGTTCGTGGCTCGGAGCTGGTCGATCATGACCTTGTCTGCGGCAATGTATCCACCGTTGGCACCGAACGACTTGGTAAGTGTTCCCATGAGAATATCCACCTCGGCGGTATCGATGCCGAAGTAATCACAAACACCGCGACCATTGGGACCGATGGCACCAATGGAGTGGGCCTCATCAACAAACAGGTTGAACTTGTAACGGCGCTTCAGTTCCACAAGGCTAGGAAGATTGCACATGGAGCCTTCCATCGAGTACAGACCCTCGACCACAACCAGAATCTTCTTCCACGGGCGGTGAGTACGAGGCTGACCTTGAGAGATAGCTTCCCGAAGCCGTAATTCGAGATCCCGCATGTCATTGTGCTTGAACATGGCGATGGATGCACCGGAGAGACGAGCACCAAAACGGATCGAAGCGTGGTTGAGTTCATCGGAGATCAGGAGACAACCCTTGGAGACGAGGGCGGGGAAAATGGTGGCATTGGTACCGAATCCCATGGAGAAAACCATGGAAGCTTCCTTACCAACAAACTTGGCGACCAAATCCTCGACTTCAATGTGCATATCCTGGGTGCCGGATTCCGCGCGGGTACTTGGGGCTGTGATTCCGTATTTCCGGATCGACTCCTCCGCCAAATCGGCACAGGGGCCTTCTGACTGAGCGAAACCAAGGTAGTTGTACGAGCTCAGGTTCAGTGTATCGGTCGTGGTACCGGTCAAGTAAAAGTGCTGGTTGTGGTCATCCGTGGCCCGGTCGATCAGGGTCACAGTTCGGCCGGGAACACCGGTAATGGGGCGTTCGAAGCAGTCATTGATACGCAATTTTAGACGACGCACGTAAAAGTTGTCGAAATCGCTGTTGAGAGCACCGTATCCATTGCGAGGCTTGAGGTGGCGGTAGTTCTCTTCCCGGAAACGCTTGCCGAAGAAATCACGCACGTGTCCGAAAGCAATTAGGATTAGGTAACTGATATAGGTGGTGAGGAGGTAATAATAAGGCGGCTCGTCCATCACCGGCTCCGGGAAGGCACCACCAGGGTGCCGACTGGTGTACCGGTGACTGGGGTGACCGATCTGACCAAATTGGGCATGTTGCTTGGCCTGCCGACGGGCCTCCTCCGGAGTTGGGGGCTGGAAGAGAGTCTTGGGAAGCTCGTCCATGTTTAGACTATCCGCTGTAGCTGTTGATAACGATATCGTCGGTAAGGACAGTGATGCCGAACTGATCGGCGGAGAAGTATTAGGTTGGGAGTGCCCACTTGGCGTCTGTTCCTTGGACTTGGGAGAGACCGAGAAGAATTGGGACAGACGATTGGACTTGACCGTGGGGGCCTTGGAGATACCGCCCTTTCCCGAAGAAGGCGAAAAGGACGGCGAGGTGGAAGTGTCGTTGGAGGAGTTGCTGCTAAACCGACGAGGCATCGCAGGAAACAGCGAGTTTCTCAGGTGAGGCAGGTACTACCGGGAGGATCTCTAGCAACCAGCTATCTGAAAGCAGCAGTTAGTCGTCCAAGTCTGCGTGATGCGCCAGGTAGGTTCAAGTCGAGACTCGAAAAGTGTCAGACGTACTTTGGGGATCCGAGGACTCCGGTTGAGCTTGCAAAGCTGGGAAAGCACGTGGAATGGGAAGAAACGAACAAGGGGCAAACAGCCCTACGTTCAAATGACGAAAAGACCAATCTCGAAGGGAAACTTGAATGAGGTTCACAGTCGTCAGGAGAGAGTCTGAGAAGGTAAATAAGATGAGCGTGTTGCAAGGCCTCCTGGTAATTGCGAAATACAGAATACACGTAACAGTACAAGTGATTGGCTGACTACCTGGGAAAGGAGGTATTATTACATCATAATACAAGTGCAATTTTTCACACTAAGTTTTCGGCTCCGAGTCTTCCCCTGACTATTCTGCAGTATACTATACATACATGTTGGTGCTAGTTAATGGGTAGTAATAGACAGCAGATAGTAGACAGTTGACAATAGCTTCTCCTTCTATTTCTCCCAATTGACCTTGACATTGACTTATAGTAATGACGTTCATGGACGAAAACGTAGATAGTAGACACCTGAGGCCTCCACTGTCACTGTCACTGTCACCATAGAATGTGACATATCAATGTCGATATGCGTATGGAGACCCTGTAGAGAAAAGGTCTCCTATTCATACTTCCCACCCGTGGACTACGGATAAAGTGCCGCGGAGATCGGCAACTCAATACCCGACTATATCCGCCTCCCTTGTTGGGATATCTGCATCTGCATGGGATTTACTCTTTGCATGTCAAGCTTGGAAAACCCCTGTCAAGCCTATCACAAGCTTCAATCCATCCATACATTAGATCGGATCCAGTTGCCACTTTGCTCAACAGGTATTATACTGTTTACACGGCATTCGAGATTGATTGAACAATTTCGCTGTTCAGTCTACTAGGATTCTCAATCCCCCACTTGATTTCACATTGTGGGCATTTCGACTACAATCAGTTCAATCATGCCTCATATTCAGAGCCTTGACCCGGAGTCGAAAGAGCTCTGGCGGCCCTCTGCTCCGGAGTCAACCCAGATCTATGATTTTATGACCAAGGTCAACAAGAAGCACGGCTTCTCCCTGGATGATTACCAGACCCTCTGGAACTGGAGTGTCTCTGAACCAGGTCAATTCTGGGAAGAGATTTGGCATTACACGAAAATCAATGCCCACGAGCCATATCAACAAGTCAGTAATACCTGTTAACCCCCGCAATGACTAGGCTTCCCTGCTGCGTCGTCACAATGCTGACCCTCTCTATAGGTGCTGGACACAAAAGATGTGTTATTTCCCAGACCTTCATTCTTCGAAGGTAGCACTCTGAATTTTGCCGAGAATCTCCTCTACCCAGCATGTGAGCCGGATGAGAATTCCGTGGCAGTAATTAGCGCCACCGAAGCAGCCCGCGAGTCAATAACGTGGAAAGAGCTGCGAGAGCGAGTTCGGCTATGCGCCAACGCCCTGAAAGAAGCAGGCATAGTGACTGGTGATCGTGTTGCCGGCTTTGTAGGCAACCATGTTTACACGGTGGTGGCTATGTTGGCCGCAGCCTCGATTGGTGCCTATTGGACTGGGGTGTCTCCAGATACCGGTGTGCATGCAGTTCTAGAGCGCTTGAAGCAGATTCAGCCCAAAATCCTCTTTGCTGACAATGGCTCTCTCTATAATGGTAAGGTGCATGGCTCGCACGCCAAGGTGTGGGAGATTGTCTCCGAGTTGCCAGATCTGGAGCTATTGGTGCTTCTTGTGACTGCTCCGGAATTGGAGGTCAACCTTGATGACCTGAAGCCTGCCAATGGGAAGTCAATGGTCTATGGAGATTTCCTTGCAAATGTTCGGAACTCACAGGCGCCACTGGAGTTCGCAAGCTTGAAGCCAGAGCATCCGGTATACATCTTATACTCGTCTGGTACCACCGGCGCCCCCAAGCCGATTGTTCATGGATCTTTGGGTACATTGCTACAGCACAAGAAGGAGCATCTTCTCCACTGCGATATCCGTCCTGGCGATCGCTTGTTCTACTTCACAACAACCACCTGGATGATGTGGCACTGGCTAGTTTCCGGATTGGCCAGCGGTGCAACAATCGTCCTTTACGATGGCTCACCATTCCGGCCATTCGACATTGAAGGTGGCAAAGGAGAAATGGCGATGCCTCGACTGATTGAGGAGCTTCAGATCACACACTTTGGCACATCTGCCAAATACCTCTCCTTGCTTGAGCAGGCTGCTTTGAATCCGCGCAAGCATGCCCATCGGCCAGTGTCGCTCAAGTCATTAAGAGCCATCTTCAGTACTGGCTCCCCATTGGCGCCGTCGACTTTCGAGTATATCTATTCTTCTATTCATCACGATATCATGCTCGGCTCCATCACTGGTGGCACAGATATTCTTTCTCTGTTCTGCTCTGGATGTCCAATTCTCCCCGTCTACAAAGGAGAGATCCAATGCCGTTCTTTGGGCATGGATATTTCAGTATTCGACTATGCCGGGAATGATATCAGTGAAACCGGCGAGCCTGGCGATCTGGTCTGCGTTACACCTTTCCCCGCCCAGCCAGTCATGTTCTGGCCACCCGGGCCGGCTGGTCTGGAGAAGTACCGGAAGAGTTACTTCGACGTCTTCGGGCCCAAAGTCTGGCACCACGGTGACTACGTGCGCTTGAACCCCCAGACTGGCGGCGTGGTGATGCTGGGCCGCAGTGACGGTGTTCTTAAGCCCTCTGGTGTCCGATTCGGCAGTGCTGAGATCTACAACATTCTCCTCAAGCATTTCGCCGACGAGGTCGAAGACTCTCTATGCATTGGTCGCCGTCGAGAGGGCATCGATGCAGATGAGACAGTCGTTTTGTTTGTCCGTCTTGCTTCCGGCAAGTCTGACATGCCGTCGGACCTTGCCGCTCGCATTCAGGCTACTATTCGAAAGGAGCTTAGTCCCCGACATGTCCCTGGTGTTATTGATGCCTGCCCTGAGATCCCTGTAACGTCCAATGGCAAGAAGGTTGAGAATGCTGTCAAGCAGATATTGTGCGGACTCAATATTAAGATTGGGGCGAGCGTTGCAAATGCTTCTTGTCTAGATTGGTACCGGAACTGGGTTTCGCAATACCCTTAATTATTAGATGTCTGTTTAGATCCAAAATTGACGAGACTGTTATGTTCTATCATCGATGGTACTAAATGTCATCAAGGCTCCGTGTGTAAATTCGAGACCTCACATATTGATAAGCAAGCTGCACCTGCACTAGGGAAGTCTTTAAGTAAAAAAATTATGATATGAAATCGAGCCTCAAAGTCATAGTATATAATCAACTATCTCGAACAAAGTTATTATTAATATCACGAAAATCGATTCGATGTTGGAGGATCATACAACCGATTATCTAAGCATTTTCGGATCAAGGCTCCATTACGATTCTTCGCTGACAATCTACATCACCTCCCCCGGAATTACCAGGTGTACCAAGCAATCTCAATTTTGCGAGCTGTCACACCTGTAAATACTCAAACATCATGCGCCGCACAGCATTGCGGGCCCTTGAGTCCGCGAAGCCTCTGACTCGAGCTCCTCGCTCTGTTTCAAGAAGCTTCTCTACTGCCAATGAGTCGGCCAGGGTAACTAATCGCCTACACATGCACCTATGTTCAAATAACTAATGTATCCTTTTATCTGCAGGATCCTGCCGACCTTGAACAAATTACCACACTCCCCAATGGCGTACGCGTTGCCACGGAATCATTACCGGGTCCCTTCGCGGGTGTCGGAGTCTACGTCGATGCCGGATCCCGTTATGAAGATGCCAGTCTGCGCGGTGTTAGCCACATCATGGATCGCTTGGCCTTCAAATCAACCAAGTCTCGTAGCGCAGATGATATGCTGGAGACTCTTGAGGGCCTGGGCGGCAACATCCAATGCGCCTCGTCCCGCGAGTCGCTGATGTACCAGTCTGCCAGCTTCAACTCGGCAGTTCCTACCACACTCGGTCTGCTAGCAGAGACTATTCGGGATCCTCTCATCACCGATGAGGAAGTGCTCCAACAGCTCGCCGTGGCGGAGTATGAGATTGGCGAAATTTGGGCGAAGCCTGAACTTATCCTCCCGGAGCTGGTGCACATGACCGCTTTCAGCAACAACACCCTCGGAAACCCTCTCCTATGTCCCGAGGAACGACTAGGCGAGATTAACAAGGCAGTGGTGGAGCGTTACCGGGAAGTGTTCTTCAACCCGGACCGCATGGTCATCGCTTTTGCCGGAGTTCCCCACGCCGAGGCCGTGAAGCTCACCGAGCAATACTTTGGAGACATGAAGGCGAATGACACCAGCAAGTCCGAGAGCCCCGTGCTCTCTGGCTCCGGAATCGAAACTTCGCTGTCCAACTCCGAAGAGGCTGCCCAGGAGGGACAGGTTCCAACCGTTCCTCAGTTCACACCCTCATCGACTATCAGCAGCCCGGCTGCTTCCGAAACGACACAATCCTCGCTTTTGTCGAAGCTTCCTTTCCTCAAGCACCTTTCCTCCTCCAAGAACCATGCTACAGTCGAGCCCCTTCACTCGTCCCTAGTTGAGCCCTCCGCTCTCAACCTGAGACAACCTGCTCACTATACTGGTGGCTTTATCGCCCTCCCTCCGATTCCCCCACCAGCGAGCCCCATGCTTCCTCGGTTGAGTCACATCCACCTTGCGTTCGAGGCCCTCCCCATCTCCTCGCCTGATATCTATGCCCTCGCTACCCTCCAGACCCTCCTTGGTGGTGGTGGCTCTTTCTCCGCTGGTGGACCCGGAAAGGGCATGTACTCGCGACTTTACACCAACGTGCTGAACCAGCACGGTTGGGTCGAGAGCTGCATTGCTTTCAACCACAGCTACACTGACAGCGGAATCTTCGGAATCTCTGCCTCGTGCAGTCCCACCCGCACAAACCAGATGCTCGAGGTCATGTGCCGTGAGCTTCAGTCCTTGACTCTGGACACTGGATATACCGCTCTCCAGGCGCAGGAAGTCAACCGTGCAAAGAACCAGCTCCGCTCATCGCTGCTGATGAACCTCGAGTCTCGTATGGTCGAGCTGGAGGACCTTGGACGCCAGGTGCAGGTCCACGGTCGCAAGGTCGGCGTTCGGGAGATGTGCGAGCAGATTGAGGCTCTCACCGTTGAGGATCTCCGCCGTGTGGCTCGCCAGGTCTTTGGTGGCCAGGTCCACAACAATGGCAAGGGTACTGGCCAGCCTACTGTTGTACTGCAGGAAGGTGAATTGGAGGGCTACAAGCTGCGTCCTTTCCCCTGGGAAGAGGTGCAGGAGCGGATTTCCCGGTGGCAGCTTGGCCGGAGGTAATTTAGTTCAACTATGCCTCGAGGCCAGCTTGTAGTCGGATATAATGGGTCATGTAGGAAGTCGCATCTAGAGGATGATATGTAATTATAGAGCATGACCAGAATATCGACACTGTAGAATACACCCCTCTTTTTATAAATATAAACAGAAAATACACCGAACAGTCCATGCAATACATTGAAACGCGAACATGACATCGTTATATGTGGGTCCAAGCTCCTCGCCGCTTTTCGGCAAAAAAGTCGGAGCGATTCGCAGAGAGACTTTCCATCATCAACCATCACCTTCAACTCGATCCCCTCCGTTATCCCTATCCAACACCGCCCAAAATGGTCAAGCTCACCGAGGTCGAAGATGAGCACTTCTCCGAGAAGCCCTCCACCACCAAGGACGATGCTCTCCTGGTCTCCGACGATGACGAGGACTACTCAGACACTGGTTAGTATCCCGGATTCACGCCCATACCCTCTACCCCGGAAACTCGCATCGCGCCATTGTCATCTACACAATGTCCAATTGCATCCCTGCGGGAAGACTTTTCCCGTTCTTATCTCTCTCGATCATCTTTACCATCGCCCATTTCAAACCCTCCCAAACACGCGACCCAAACTGGGAAATGAACACATCTACCCGCGAATGAACACCTATCTGACAAGACTCTCAATGAACCACAGACTCCGAGATCTCCAACGATGAGGACGTCGAGCTCGATGCCGAGTCTTTGTACGAGCGTGTCGCCGCCCTGAAAGACATGATCCCCCCTTCCGCCCGCCGCACCATCACCAACTCCGTTTCCTCCGTCACATCCCTCACCAAGTCTGGCCTGTCTCTCAGCGGAAAGGCTCTGTGGGTTATCAGCACCAGCGCTTTCTTGCTTGGTGTCCCTTTCGCGCTCGCTTACGCCGAGGAGGAGCAGTACATCCAGATGGAGCGTGAGCAGGGTATGATCAAGGGTGCTAACGAGGTATGTTTACACATCTGTCCTCTTCTGTCTTTCTTGTTATGATTTTTCGGTGGTTGTCTGGAATTGGCGGGATTGCCCCGGATTTCGATTCGTGTCATCTGCGCAAATGACACGTGCAATTGCCTCGAGTATTTTATTATGGAAAAGAAATCATTTTCATCTCAAGTTCCTGTGGCTTTGATCATGAAAAAGTGTGCTAACTGAAAATGAAATAGATGCTCACCCCTGGCGCCGAGCTCGAGAAGCAAGCTCAACCCACTCTGTAAATTAATAACACGGAAAACAAAGGAACTGGCAACAGACCGTGCGACCCGACCTCCAACGTCAATAGTTGGCAGTCTGGAAACAGCACAGCCAAGCAGTTTTCAGGGACGACAGGGAAACCTCGTATATACGCAGCGAGAGCACATCCCCTTCTGGTCAAATCTCAACCGAAGGGATCCGGGAAGGGCGATCAAGAGAATCGTCCTTCCAGCTGTCTTCTTGTCGCGGCTCGCTTTTTTCGGACCTTGTGTGTCATGCCTTTTTTTTTGACTCTTTTCTATCTCGCATCTCATGCCTTTTGACATTTTGGCTCCGGCAGCTTATGCATGCATGTATTTGTACAACCCCAGTCATCTTCCTTCTTGTTTCTCTATACACACTTTTTTCCTTCTCTACTGTTCGTCCGCATGTTTAAGTAATGAAAAATGAAGGGGGTTTTGTCATGGCAATTATCTTAACTCCTCTTAGATATGTAATGATTGTAGAAGAGCTCTTGATATGTAGATAACTAATTAGACTAGAATACTATCCATGGCTCTGGGCCAAAGGACAATGCTCCAGGTAGCTAGCTACCAATGCAGTAGAAACAAAAGGGAAACCGCTAATCGAGGGACCATGTGCTTGCTAGCTCTAAGCAAACCTAGAGCAAGTCCGACGCTGAAAATGAACAGAAAGGGGGGTATCATTAGGAAAGGGGCTGAACAAAAGAAATAAAGATTTGGTCTCCCAAATCATGCAAAGGGAAGCGGCGCAACCAACAAATCAGTCAGGGGCCACATCCATGTCGGCATATGAATGCCATTCGAAGATGTGTAGCGTAGAATAGCATGCACATTCTTCTAACCATGAAAACCGTGAAACCGTGACACCAGATGTGATAAGAACCATCTCAAGCATAAATAGACTAGAAAACAGATCAGCAAACAGTCCTCAAAAAGGCATGGAATAAAAGACACACCTCTTTTTCGCGCGCAGACCGGAGACTGATATGGAAATCGCGCCAAAGGCCATCGACTATACCACCCGCAACCATCGCATCAAGGACACCATTGGCATTACGTGTCTTCTTTTTGGCGCTCATACCATTCCGCTTGAGAATCTCGTCGTCTGCCATGTGGCCCATGCCATCGAGATAATCGAGAACCCATTCGTTGAGGTGGTAGCGCCAGTGCATGAGGGTGTGTGCGAGTACAGCTCTGCCCTTGCATGTTCTATCGAAATGGTTAGTGAGATCAGGACGTGTCAAGATTATTCTTCGACGTTGAGGATACTTACCTTCCTAGGTAGAAATGGGTACCCTCGGATGGAATAATATGACCATCTCTGTCTCGGTCGTGGCCATAATCCTCGTTATCGTCATCCTCCTTCGACTGTTCGTCAGTGTCGTCTTCGTTCAGCGGCTCCAGTGTCTCCAGGGAATAGGCTTTGCCGTATAGCGTTAGATCAGAGGACGCAGGGTGACCAGAACGTCTACAAGCATCGCATGGATGGTCCTCTTCCGTGGGATAGGAAGTGATATCCATAGACGGGCGAGCTTGAATGGCATAGATGAACTGAGGACTCCAGACCGAAGAGATGAGCTGGGAGCCAGATCGACCCTTGACTTCGTCTTCCAGTTTCATGAATGCCATCTTGAACATCGGGTCTGAGCGAGGGAAGGCCGGGTTGAGTTTGTTCTGGACCATCCAGTAGACCACATCGCGGAAGTAGTCCTTTGGCTGTTTGTATGCGTGTCGGGTGAATTCAAGCGGAATGCCCTCGGTTGGAACGCCGAGGTCGTTCTGCTCGTCTTCGAGGACAAAGTCGTCTTCGTAACGGTCCAAGTCTTCGTTGGCGGCAATGGCAGATTCCACGTCGCTGTCCACATCATGTTGCTGCCAGCTGATTTTGCGAGTGGATGGGCTGATTTGATTGCCGTTTCGGTCGACCTCTTGGACGCCTGAACCGGACTCTCCCTCGGATTCCTCCTCGCTTTCCTCTTCTTTCAGACCGGCTCGTCTGCGCCGGAGGGTTTCGAGATGTTTCAATCTCTTGTCTCGGGCAGATTCGGCAACATGACCACGTGTGCGGCTCTTTCGAACAGCTATACATGATTCACGTTAGCATAATTCAAGCATATTCATACACCGGTCAACTCATACCTGAGTCTTGGAGGTCCTCAAGATCCTCCGCGATATCAAGTCTGGCCTGGTCCGAAATATTGCGCGGAGTTCTTGGGGTTTGAGGAGTGTGTATATCTTGTGCACGCCTCAGTCTCTTCAGGGGCGAAGACCGAATCGGTTCGTCAGAGTCATGATCCTCTTCTTCGCTGGTTTCGATCGGTATTCTTCGCTCCTGGCCACGTCTGAGTCTCTTCACCGCTGAAGACCGAATCGGTACGTCGGAATCATCATCTTCTTCCTGACATGGTTTAACCGGTGTGCTTTCCTCCTGGTCAGGCTTGCGCTTCCGGACAGACGATGGGATGATTGATTCGTCCGAGTCACTTAGCAAGGTAGGTGAGCTTGTGGCCTTGCGCTTCAGTTTCTGGCGTGAGCTAGACAGCTCCTCCGAAATGCCTGTGTTTCCACTGTCTTCGTGCGAAGATTGCAGTCCTCGCCCTGATTTCTTCGAACTCTCGGACTTGTTGAATTTTGACGGAGTGTTGTCTAATACCACTTGCACGTCTGATCGAGCACCTCGCTTTCGCTGAGAGACGGGAATTTCGTCATCGGAGGATGGTTCTGGTTCGTCTGTATAGGCAGTTCATCTGGTTAATATTGGAAGCAGGCCCTGTTGTGGACATAGACGAAATGCTCACTCTTGATTGTTCCGCTGAACTTCGGAGCAGCCTGTGTAGCCTGGGTGGGAAGTCGGGATTGCTTCTTGGGCTTTGCTCGCTGGTTGGACTTGGTCCCTGTTGCGCTGGACTTGATCTTGTGAGGTTTTGCGCGATATATCCCTGAGCTTGGGTTGCCGTATTGGAGGGTGGAATATCGGCTGCTTTGCTCCGGACTCGCTGCACCAGAAGGTGCCGCGGCCGAAGCAAAGGCCAATCGCGTCTGCTTTTTGGTCGTTTTGCGCGGTGCCATCGTATTTCGGCGTTTTCGGCGTTTGCGGGATCGAAGAGGACCGGGAGCAGTCTAGTTGCTTTTATATGTAGCAATATCAAAAAACAACAGCCATGTTCAAAAAAGGTTCGGTATAACGCTGCCACTGCGGGGACTTTGTCTGGCGCGTTACGGCGTCACGAGAGCACGTGATCGATATCCTAGTACATGGGGAACAATATAGAAAGCAGCAACTATTCCCAACTATTAGGTGCATCGGTTCCTCTATAGGAACGTACCACAGGCTTTCAGAATCTACGGAGTGAAATTGATTGTGTAATGTTAGAAAAATGTTGCGGTCAGTTCCCGCAAGAAAACACGCATGTACATCTGAACATTTTCTCAGATGAAATTTAAAGTATCTCTGGTAAACTTTTGCGCTCACTTCCAGCGAAAAAAAGCGCGATATCTATCTTAACATTTACTAAGAGAGAAAGTAGCCCTAGGAGACTTTTGTGATTAGTCCACATACCAAAACGCGCAACATACACTTGACCATATAGAAGTACCGTTAGGAAAATATCACGCTTAGTCCCAACGTAAGAACGCGAGATATATATACATGTACAAAGAAACAATTTTAATCATCGGACAGTCTCTACATCTACAGGCATCCCCAAGCATCCAAGCTAGTATACCGCTTCTTGCATTCTTTACGCTCTTTCCGACTAGCTGTCCAACCATTTAAAAACCTTTGTATAGACATCTCTACCTAGGTAGGGACCGCCCTCTTCCACTACAATTTACCAACAAAGATAGGCGATATGATTAGCGGTACGTACATAAATTATTATAGGGCGCCCTCACCGGATATATAAGTACAATTATATATCTATCTGCCCTATTTGGCCTAAATAGTTCCCCAACTTCTAGGGCTATAGATCGGAAACCGCAATATGAGTTTATTTTGAGCGTTTGTTTCGTGATACGAATTCTAAATATAATCAATACAAGTCATGCGAAACATGGCTCTTCATTCTCGTTTATAAGATCAGTTACGGCTACGTAGCTGACCTTTCTAGCTACCTCTACGTCGCTATGTTGTAGCCCTTAACACTAACTTACTGATAGCTCCTAACTAGGCACAGAAGGAGTGGGTGTATCTATTAGGCACCGGGAAGGTTAGTATTAGACTGTCGAAACCCCGCTCGAAAATGGCCAGAAAAAAGGTCAAAATAGAGGTCTAGAAAAGGGTTGGAGTTGGTCATTTGGATGGCGTAAAATTCTCTCAGGAAAATGTGAATGGGCGATGTTAGTATACATTCTTTTAAGACCTTAAGTCTATCCTGATTGTACTTATTTCATTCTCAATTGGAAACCATTGGATAAGTGGTGATCGCCTGGCCACATAGAACTGCAAATCAGCCCTAACTCAACCATCACGGGAACGAGTCAAATGGGTCCCGGAGCCAAGCTTCGCTTATAATCTCTTACTCTTTTTTGGAATTGGCTTTTGATTCTTCAAGGTCCTTTTATCTTTGCTTTGTTGACTATTTACCCTATTGGTGGAGTCGATTTTCTCCCAAGCCTCCCTTCTCCAGACCGCCGATTCGTGGAAATCCGAACTATTCATCTCACCGGAACAACCACGAAAAATATCCTCGAACCCCAGATCAGCATTACCCCAGGTCCGCACCACTCAATCTAGGGAGCTTCAAGCCAATCGAAATTGAACCAGGGCTGAGATACACCCTGCCATGTGCGGTTCGACTTCAGATACCCCACCACTCAGCGATCCTGGAGAATAGCTACCCCATTATCAAAATGCCAAATTGTTCTTAGCGTGTCCGGGGTTGTGATTTCTGGGGATGGTCCGATTTGCGCCATGGCTTTTAGGTCTCACACGGGCTGGGAATGGCTTTGCCCCCCGGAAGGCACTAAGCATTACTTATATATCTGGGCCCGCTCCTACGCCTCTAGAGTTTCATATCGGTTTTTGGCTGTTTTCTCACTTCACTCTAGGGTCACGGTTTGCCATATAAGGCCGGAGTGTGGTGCTATCCATAGGGTATCGACTACATACTTCAACCCTATTCTCTAATCAGATCCGTTCCTTCAGTGTCCTACTCACAACCGCCAGGATGGGTGTTTTAATGAGTCGCAAAAGAGCCTTTAATTGGTTAGTACAATGTGCTTTACGCCATGAGCCAAAATCTAACACAAGCTGCAGGTACATCTCTCTCGTTGCCGCATCATGCATGGTGCTTTACGGTTACGATGCATCTGTCTTCAACTCCGTCCAAGGGTCCAAGAACTGGGTAGCATGGATGAACAAACCAAACGCAAACACAATTGGCTCCATTAATACGGCGTACACGGTCGGCGCCATCTTTGGAGGTTTTTTCCTTGGTGGTCCCTGTGCCGACTTCTTGGGCCGTAAGTTTGGAATGGGAATTGGTTGTGTGCTGGTTATTATTGCCACATTCATGCAGACGTTTACTCCTCGACATAACATTGCCCTTTTCCTGGCAGGAAGATGTATCATTGGTATTGGGCAGGGTATCGCGCTGAGTAAGTGTTACTTGTGTGTTTGATTCACTGTGCATGAGCTAACTGCGAGTCTTAATAGCCGCCGGTCCTATCTATATCGGTGAATTGGCACCGCCCGAGATCCGTGGTAAGATCATGACCTTCTGGCAGATGTTCTACTCTGTCGGATCATTCATCTGCTTCTGGATCAACTTCGGCTGCACCAAGCATACCGCCAGTCTGGGCGAATGGGACTGGAAGATGGTCGTCATTTTCCAGCTTCTGGTTCCAGTGATGATTCTTATACTCCTTCCCACTATCCCTGGTAGTCCCCGTTGGTGAGTGTGAATGCATACTTTCTGTCAGTAACATCCAGTACTGACGATTCACAGGTATATCCAAAGAGGAAACAAAATCGATCAGGCCCGTGCCGCTCTTTCCAAGGTCCGTGATACTGAGGAAGAAGTAGAGCAAGAGCTCTTGGAGATCCGTGAGGCCATCGAATACGAGAAAGAAGCCATCTCTGGCAACTACTCCGCTCTCTGGAAGGACAAGTCACTTCGCAAGCGTATGGGTCTGGCACTGATCCTTAACGCCGGCCAGCAAATTACCGGACAAGGCTCGCTCAACTCGTACTCTACCAAGATCTACCAGAAGGTCTTCACCAGCAGCAGCCAGATTGCTCTCATCAACGCATTGAACGCCACATTTGGAATTATCTTCACCCTGAACGCTGTATGGATTGTCGATCGATTTGGCCGAAAGTTCCTTCTGATTGTCGGTGGTATCGGTATGGGTCTCTGCATGATTATTGTCTCCGCCGTCGAAACCGAAACCCCTTCTCTTGCCAACGGAGCGAAATCAGAGCCTGTCGGTATATCGATTGTGTTCTTACTATTCCTGTTTATCTTCTTCTGTGAGTTGGCCCTACAACACTACATCTCATCATCTTCAAACAAAGAAACACAACTAACACAACCTAACAGACAAGCCGTCTTGGGGCGCAACAGTCTGGATCTGGACATCCGAAATCTTCTCAATGAACGTCCGCGCCCAAGCCGTGGGAATGGCCTCGCAGACCCAGAACGTCGCCAATGCTATCGTCCAACAATTTTTCCCCCTCTTCCTCGACAACGAAGGTTTCTTCGCCTTCTACATGTTCGCTGGAATCAACTTTCTACTTGCCGCATTCGTCTTCTTCTTCATCCCAGAGACCAAGCAAGTCTCTCTTGAGGAGATCGATACCCTGTTCGGCGGCGCTAACCACGTTGCTCAAGGAGAGGAGGTGCTGGCCCACCAGAAAGGAGTACAGCTGACTCACGAGGGAAGCGAAAAGCCTGGTGCCGTTACTGTTGAGAATGTCGGCTCTAAGTAATTGCGTCTAATACCACTTTATTGGTGGATTGTTCGTTTCGAAAATATTATAACGATACCGGATTCGTTGCTATGTACGGCATTTAGTCTTTAATGAAAGTGCGTTAGCCGTGCTTCTCAGAAATATCATACCGTTCAACATAATTTTGTACACAATGCCATGAAGTATTGGGCAGTTTCTCTACGAGAGCCTCGAAGCGAGTGTACCGTTTCATGCAATGTTTTCGCCTTATTTTGACCTCTCTTTTTTCCCCTATTTTTTGCGCATTCTCGAGTGCCTCGGGTTTATCGTATAGATCATACAAAGGCGGAGGCATGAAAGTCTTATAACCCCAGTTGTAGATATGAAATTGCTTAATTCATGACCGGGCAGGCCACCCATGTCCTGATTATCTGATACCTCGATACTTGAGACCCATCACTGAGATCGACAGTAGCGAAGCCAAGTTGATATCCGAAGATCCACGGTAGCAAAACAAAACGACCAACATAGTAGATTATGCCTAGCGCGAGAATGGCCAGGGCAACTACCGGAGATAGCCAATAGGGGAGACTGGTATTTCCTTTGCCATTTGGCGGTGGGACAAAAGGCATGACTAGAAGAAACTAAAATTTTAGTTAATATAAATCATAGCTTTGTTAACGGAGAATAATACTCACAATACTTCCAGCTAGATAGAAAGCAAGAACAGCCCACGGAACGGTAAAACCAGACGGCGAAACCTCGTCTTTTGACACCCGCAATTTAATCAATCCGATAGTGACAGCAGTGAGAAGTAACACTGTCGGATATGAATTGAGACTGACAACAAATTCAAATGCGTCACCTGCGGGAGGGGCACAGATGAAGAGGGTTGTCATGGCCAGATGGATTAATAGACACCAGATAGGTGTTCGGAAAGGTCGATTTTGCATGATGATATCTGGGAATGGCATAATGCCATCTTTCGCTAGTTCTTGGATCACTCGTGCTATAGTTAAAGATGAGTAAATGCTTTGCAGTATCATATTTTGTTCTGATAATACTCACGAACAGTGAAAGCGACTCCTAGAAGATGACCTATGGCGGATATTGCAACCATCGCCGGAAGAGCTTTTGCGCCAGCCGACTCGCCGAAGACGTTGTTGAAGAGAGATGCGGCAATGGTGAGATCGGAATCCCTAAACTCCTCTCTTGATACACCGGCGAACTGAAAAGCAAGTTAGATATGGGAAAGAGCCGCAAAAAGACCACCTACATAAGCGATGTTTGCTAGAACATAGAGAACTGTAATGCTACCCATAGCTGTAGGTAGCGCAATCCGAAGAGTCCTTTGTGGGTTTTTGACCTCGGAAAGAACCTTTATCCTTGGTCAGCAAAACCTGATCGTCCTTGAAATGCAAGGGTACTTGCCATGTTCATATTATCGTATCCCTGAAACGAAAAGATCGCATCCAGCAATGCCATGCCAATGTTATAACCGTTCTTTGATGTTCCCTGGAAAGATGTAGACAAATCAAAATTATGCGGATTTGGGACGTTGAGATGGCCCCCGAGTGCTGCAAAACCAGTGCAAACAATGAAAAGAAGGATAAATAGCTTCATTGCACTCATCATATCTTGCAAGCCTCGACCAACACGCGGGGCAACGATATGAATACACACTGCAAAGGAAACAGCGGCAACTGCTAAGCCTCGAAGCTTCCATGTTGTTGACTCAACGCCAGCAGCTTTGAGAAGATATGACGCGCAAGTTATGGCGTTACCTGATGATACCTCTGCGTTTTGTTAGAGCTATAGACCAATGTGTGGAATATAGTACTCACGTAGGAAGACGCAGTAAAATAGGTAGATGCATGTAATTAATAGTTTTGGCGAGAACGATCGTTCAAGGTAAACTTTCATGCCTCCCGATCTAGGGATAATAGTGCCGAATTCTAGCATGACCATTGCCCCGCATGTTGATATTGCACCTGCGATCACCCAAAGGATGAGGGACATCCCGGGACTGCCACTCAGTCTGAAGATAGAAGAAGGGGTGGAAAATATTCTCATTGGAGTCAGTATCTATAAAAACTAACCAAAGAGGACACAAATGGGACATACCCGGCTCCAACAATTTTGTTGACAATCAGCGAAATAGCACCAAAGACGCCGATCTGGCGCCCTTGCAAGATATTTGACTCGTTAATCTGGGGGCTTGATTTGGGTCCATCTTCGTCAGAAACATCAGTGATGAACGGCTGAGTTGAACTACTAGGCTCTTGATTCTTCGCCATGTTGTTTCTCGTTGATATGAGCTCCTAGAGTTATAAAGAAAGATTTAATTAGAATTTATGGCTAAGACGCTATTTCCGCGGTCGTTTGCGTCGATAGCGCGTGATGGAGCAACGCAGCTAACCATTGGATGGAGATATGCAGGGGGTACTGTACTACATTGCTAAGTATCGAACCCCTCGATTAGCTGTTATAGGGGTTATAGCATTATTGTATACTTTTCACCTCTCTCTTTATCGTTCGCATTTTCAGGTACATTTTCCTTTTGTTAGTTCCCGTAACAGCAAGACAATAATATGATCGCATTCCGAAGAACAAAAGAGCAAGAGAACATCGACGTAACAGCAATGTTAGTGGACGGTTTAAAACTCGTCCCCTTGCAACACAAGGCGTCCTAATCAGAGTTCTTGGGGGATTGTCCCGGTGTCAGTAAGGAGATTCATCTGAACAAGTACTTAGGTAGCTAGCTCTACGTACCATATTTCTTCTGCCGCCACTGCCGTCACTGCCGTCTCAGCTTTGCGAGCTGCACTGGGCCTCTCGGATCTCGGTTTCGAGCTCATCCGTGGGCCGCGACTGCGTAGCGTTAGGGTCGAGCATTTTGTTTGCTTTTTAACTGTACCACTTGACTGGAGCAATAATTGGATCTTCATACCCTTCAGTGACGAAAACCATGCAAGAGGTCTCCAATGCAAATAAAAAACCTTTAACTTAGCGATAGTATCTACTGCTAACCTCTACTTCGGCATATTGACGTGGTTCTATCACCCTTTACCAGGCGAGGACCTCATCAAGATCAGGGAATGGCTTCATTCGACTCCTTACACCCAAGAGAAAACCGAACACCGCAAGCACCGCGGCTCATACCTGGCAGGAATATGCAAATAGCCCTCGTCATCGGCTGTATACCGGCAATGGCATGAAGGAGATAATGAAACTCTCCGCGGATCAAGGCTCCCGGGTTCAAGTAAGTTAAGTTCGTTATTGCAGCTTCGGTCGTCAATGAGTTGCGCAAAGAAGGTTTTCCAGTCTTGTATTTCTTCTTTCGATAGATTTTCTATGTAAATAACCAGCCCGTGGCTGTGTCAGATTTTGACCTGTAGCCCTTCGCTCTAAGTCAATTAAAACGATTTATCAAGGAAAGGATGGCACTGAGAAGAGCTCACTGAATGATCCTTGGAATGCGCTAAATCTGCACTTGAAATGTATTCACCAGACTTGCGCTCACCGAGGCTGTGAATACAACATTTGTGCCTCTGGTGCGTCGAGATACATGACGGGCTCAAATATTGTGGTAGACGGAGGTTTTACTTTACCGTAGAGATGTGCTCATTGCGAGATAACAGAGTCAAATTCAGTACTTTCTTTCGCCATCATCCTCTCGTTGTTCAATAACATTATATTTTTTTTGTTTCCCTACGGTGCGCAACTCTATGCGGGGTCGATGAGAACAGAACTGGTAGTAAAGTGAGGGAGATGGACGGTGGCGGGAGAGAGTGGTGGAGTGGTGGAGTGGTGGAGCTCATTTTTTCCCCGTCAACGCCCTTGCCGGGGGCCTCTACCGTACGCGATTAGATCTAATGACTTGGATATGGTTGCGAGAATGGGATATTTAGTACGGCAAACCACTACTTTCCCGACAAGCTTTGTTGAACGAAAAGGGTCGGGGCCACGTTTCGTCACTTCTAAATAGAACGGTGGATTTCGCATGTCCCGACTGTTATATTTACCTCCTCCAATTCGACATCAATACACTTCAAAATACAAACCAATCTTTTGACAAGAATGGCTTCTAAGCCAAGGGTTGCCTTCATCGGGTTGGGGGCCATGGGAATGGGAATGGCCCTACACTTGCTCGAAGACGGTTTCGCTGTGACCGGATTCGATGTCAATCCCATGGCCCTAGAGAAACTGCTCGCCATGGGCGGTGCGGCCGCTTCTACTCCAAGGGAATGCGTTCAAGGTGCGTCCGTTGTTATCTGCATGGTTGCGAATTCAACGCAGACCGACGATGCATTTTTCGCCGATACAACGGGCGCAGTGTTTGGCTTGACACAGAAAGCGATTGTCATATTGTGCTCAACTGTTGCTCCAGGGTTTCCGGTGGAAATTTTGGGCCGCATCCACCAAGTCTTTCAAAGACCAGACATACAGTTGTTAGATTGTCCTGTGTCCGGCGGAACCATACGTGCTGCTCGAGGAACGCTGACCATTCTATCATCGGGCCCGACGGATGTTTTGAATACTGCTCAGCCAATCTTAAAGTCAATGAGCGAGAATCTATACGAGATTGAGGGAGGGCTGGGCGCCGCGAACAAGGTCAAACTTGTCAACCAGCACCTTGCCGGTGTTCATATTGCTGTCTCTGCAGAGGCAATGGGGCTAGCTGCAACCTTGGGAGTGAACACAAAGGAATTCTATGAGACTGTTCTAAAAGGCCCAGCGTGTAGTTGGATGTTTGAGAATCGAGTACCTCATATGCTCTCCAACGACTGGACACCTCACTCTGCTATCAGTATCTTTGTTAAGGATATGGTAAGCTTCCTACCCTTAGGGAAGCATTAAGTCTCTTCCACTGACACCTACATCAGCGAATTGTGACCTCGGAAGGCCTCCTTCAGGACTTCCCTCTTTATATTGCGTCTGCGACAGAACGACTTTATCAATATGCCGCGCGGATGGGATATGAAAAAGACGACGATGCGAGTCTTGTTCGAATTTTTCTAGCACAAACTCCATCTCTGGTTTCGGAAGCAACATATTGCCAGAATCCTGATAATGCGCGCGCATCTGAATTGATATGCCAGTTACTGGAGACTGTCCACTCCTTAGCAGCGGTTGAAGCTCTGGCCCTCGGAAAGAAACTCGGCATTTCGACCAACACCCTCACCTCAATTATCTCAAATGCCGCTGGTGCTAGCGAGTCCTTCAAAAAGGTTGCCTCAACGATTTTGGCTGGCGATCTATCATCTGGATACACCATCACACAGACACGGAACAAGCTGGTAGGTCGTTCCTATTCGAAGCTTCGATCGACGTAACTGACCAAATCGACAGAAAGAAGTGATGACCCTCGCCCAAATACATAATTATCCTCTTCAACTCACAGCTACTACATTCCAGCTATTACAACAGGCTGTGACCTATGGCCTGGGCGGGGAAGGTCAAGCAGCGCTCCTCAAGTTATGGACAACATCAAATCTTTCTGTCGAACCCTTGCATATCACCGAATACGACCCAGTTCCCCTCTCGGAGTTATACACAAAATTGCCTAAACTTGAGCACAATGTTGAAAATCTCCTATGCAGTATTCAAGATCATTTACGGGCTGAGCAGGACTTCAAGCTCGTTGTTCTTGATGATGACCCAACAGGAACGCAGACGTGCCACGATATTAATGTCCTCACCATGTGGGATGTCGATCTTCTGGCCTCAGAGTTCCGGTCAGAGAGCGGAGGCTTTTTCATTTTGACCAACAGTCGCGCGTTGCCTCCCAACGAAGCTCGCGCGCTAGTCAGTGAAATACTGCGAAACGTTTCCCGGGCGGCTGATATGACTGGTAAAAAGTTCGAAGTTGTCCTTCGGGGAGACTCTACATTGCGTGGTCATTTCCTGGAAGAAGTCGAATCGCTTATTGATACGATTAGCTCTCCCGATGCATGGGTTCTCGCACCGTTCTTTGGACAAGGTGTTCGCTATACCATCGACGACGTACAATATGTGGGTGACCGAGATACCCTGATCCCAGCCGCGAAGACTCCATTTGCCAAGGATAGAACCTTTGGATACAGATCCTCAAATCTCAGAGAGTGGGTTCGTGAAAAAGCAGGATCGCGATTTTCCAGCAAAGATATAATGTCTGTCACACTGGAGGATATCAGACTCGGAGGAATTTCCGCAATCGAACAAAAGTTGCTTCTAGTGCCTAAAGGTGGAATACTGATCGTTAACGCAGTCCAAACGGAGGATATGCTTATGTTCAGCCTGGCGTTATTGGAAGGTAACCATCCTTGTTTCTGGTTCATTTACAGCATATAGTTCTTTCAAACTTACTTCTCGGTTACAGTCCGCAGAAAGCACAAACTCCGTTTTGCCTATCGAACGGGGGCGACCTTCGTATCTAGTCGCCTTGGGATCCCAGAAAAACCAGTCATTTTACCGAGACAGATACCAACGTTCAAACCCGTGAGACGTACCGGAGGACTAATTATAGCGGGCTCTTATGTTCCCAAGTCCACCAAGCAAGTTCAATCATTGATCCAAAGATCAGGGGGCAATTTAACAACTCTCACTGTGGATGTGCCAGCCCTATTTATCGAGCGCCAGAAATATCCCGACATCCCCACAATGCTTCGTTATTCACCCGTGTTGCAAGACATTGTTGCATGTGCGTCTGGGGACCTCCAAGATGGCAAGGACGTGCTGGTGATGACCAGCCGAGACCTTGTGTCGCTGGATTCTGTCAATTCTTGGGGGTCGGAAACTTCAGGAAAAATAACGAACTTGGACATCAACAACTTGGCCGCGAATGCCTTGGTACACATTGTCCGCCACTTGAGCGTTTGCCCTCGTTACCTGCTAGCGAAGGGAGGCGTGACATCATCTGATGCAGCGACAGCTGGTATAGCCATAAAGCGCGCAACAGTGCTGGGCCAGGCGGCGCCTGGGGTTCCCGTTTGGTGGTGCCAGAAGGAGGAAGATTTCAAGAGTCAAGAACAAGGAGGCCGGAAGGTCAAATGGACTGACCTACCATTGATCATTTTTCCAGGCAATGTTGGAGACGAAGATAGCTTGGCTGATATAGTTGGGCAGTGGATATTACGATAGACTATTGTCCTGCAGTCATGAAGACAATGTGCTGTGAATTAAATGTAAAAGAATTGCACATTATTCGCCCGTTAGAGTTCGAGCTGCTCAAATACATTTTCGTCCTCATTTGGCTATATCAAGTGTCCACTTTGCAGAAGAGAAACAAACAGCCAGTCAAGAATAGAAGAAAGGAAATCAGCGTCAACCTCATGCTGTCGGTCTCTATCGTCAGATTTAGTCAAGACAGTAAAGCCTCGGACGACAGTTGCTTGTCTACTTAGTATCAACTCTGTTTGACTAAATGCATATCAACTATTAGAGACTTCCAGTCTGGCTTACAATGAAAAACATTTCCGAAGTTTCTGGACAGCCGACATCAAACTGGTTCCGCTCCGTCAAAGAAAGAGAATAAAGACACGGTCTCATTCTCGGCACATCACGGAATTTGAAATTTTTGTCCAAGGACACCAAGAAATCAGAAAGAGCTATAGAGGCACATGTAAGAAGATGATTAGGAAGACATTCAAAACCATCGCCACACTTTTTACAGCTAATGTGTCTAAATTTACTTGCTTTAAAAGCTAATAATGCCCAAATATGTGTTTTGATTCGGACTGCGCCAGAGTTCACTAAACCATGAATTCCTCAAAATACTCGTCGGGGAGATGCGCTTTCTCATTCCCGTCAATCGTACCCAGATACCACGACAAGTCGCTTCCATCGAATTCGCGTGCAGCGAAGCCGTTGCCAAGATAGCCAAACCGATTAGAGGTTGTATAACCGAGGTTGTAATCTTCCCAACGGGGCTGTTTCATGGTTTCAAAGAAATGGATTCTCGAGCCCGGCCACATCATCACCTCCCCATCGACCGTTCCCTGCTTAAACCAAGAACGACATGGAGATGTCCAAGCGGTACGAGGCATGAAGTTTCGGTGGTGCTCGAAGAAATCCGCAACCGCCTCAGTTTTGGGTTCGAAAGAACTCACACCTTCCGATGACATTTTCTCGAGGATTTGGAGGAAGTGTCTTGATAGGGTCTCCGTGATTGGAAGGAAACTTCCGTGGCCGTAGGGGCCAAAGGGGCCGTTGAAAACTGTTCAACCGGAATTAGCATCCCAACGCTTTAGGGCTGAGGGCGCGGAGGGACTCACTGAGGTAATTGGGGAAGTGTGGAACTGTGATGGAAAGGTAAGTCCTTGGAACATTCTTCCATTCCTCACTCAGACTACGAGATTTCCGGCCGATTGTCGGGTACGATGGCCGCCAACTGACATCAAAGCCGGTAGCACACACGATAACATCGACCTCGTGCTCAACCCCATCCGCAGTCTTAATGCCTTTTGGGGTAATCTCTTCAATGGATTGACTGACAACCGAGGTGTTCTCGCTGCAAAGCGCCTCGAGGTATCCATTTCCGGGTGTAGGTCTTCGGCAGCCCACTGCGAAATCCTTCGGGACAATCCAGTCTGCAATCTCTGGACGACCGGCAAGCTTAGATCGCATATCTTTCTCCGCGTACTAAAAGATTTTGCCTTGTCAGGACATGCCTAGAAGTGTACTAGGTCGAGATGGGAATCTTACAGCTCGCGCGTTTGCTTGCTCCTCGGATCCATTAAGAATGAATCGGAAACGGGAGTTAAGCTCAGACTCAATCTTCTTGCGATATGCCAGGTATTTCTGAGGGTCATTCCGCAGTATCTCTTTTTGCTTCTCATTATCTATTATTGTCAGTATTTCGGATTGAGGTTTTATAGGGCCTGATTGAGGGAAGCCTACATTTGAAATTGGATCCCCCTTTTCCTGCAAATCGTTGGCCAAAGCCGGCAGTCACCCACGAGGCACTGCGAATGAAGCATTTGAGAGATGACACCTCTATATTGGCCGTTAATATACTTCCTTTCGCGCTTTAAACCAGCGAAACTCACTGGGCTGAATGCTCGGAACGATTTGCACTGCAGAGGAGCCTGATCCGATAACAGCCACACGCTTCCCCTGCAATTGAACGTTGTCATCCCAGTGTGCACTATGAAGTCTAGGGCCCTGGAAGGTTTCCAGGCCCTTGATTGCGGGCCATTTCCATTTGCTGGAGTACGTCAGTCTCATCATTTTATAGCCGTGAAAGAAAAGATACCCACTTCAGCACACCACTTGCGTTGACCAATATGTGACCTTTGTCCTCAAAGACATCTTCAGGATTATCTCCTTTCTGAATTTTTACATGCCACTGTTGATCCTGCTCAACCCAAATCGCGCCTACCACCTTGTGGTCGAGGCGAATAAATTTCCGAAGCCCGTACTTGTCGGCAATGCCCTTGAAATATTTTAAGATTTCAGGTGCACCCGAGTAACTACCAACACCCAGTAAGTTCATTGCCCATTTAGACGGGTACTTGACTGCACTTACAAGGAGGTCCAGTCTGGAGAGGGAGCCCATGAGAACTGATAGTTGACAGAAGGAATGTCGCATCCACATCCGGGGTAGCGGTTCTCATACCAAGTGCCACCAATCTCTGGATTCTTTTCATAAAGAACCAGTTCCGTATCTAACGGGCTTGTGTCGATGTCATGGGCAAAGTTTAACGCACTCGCGCCAGCTCCGATCACGATGATACGGATTTTGCGACGGCATCGGCTTGGCTCTTCCACGATTTCATAAGGCTTAATCCCATTTCCAACTCCATTGGTCGCCTTGAGCTCATTATAGTCACCGATAGATCCCATTTTGGGTAGAAGGAGCAGGATGAATAAAGTAGAGAGATGATCAGAGTGCTTCGCTCATCAAATCATGGAGTTGTGAAGGCGCGGGATTGATGCATTTATGAGACTCTTCCCGTTAGCGCACATTTCATTACATTTCGTGCTTAGTTTGCAGAATGGATAGTGGACAATTGAGTCGCGCTTCAAACTGTAGCTCTGCGTCGGAGTGGTGGAGCTCTGCATCGCATGAGTGGCGGAGCTCCACCAGTCTTATCACTTCGCTCTCACAGGGCTCTCTTTCCTCTCCACCATCTCCACCACGGAGAGAAGGGCGAAGAGGGGATGATCGGCAATCTACAACTCTTGCCGGTACTTGCTTTAATCATGATAAGCCATCTAAGACCTCTAATAGATACCCTTACCCCTTTCTGCCTGTTGATCACCTCGTCCACCAATTCTGCTATATTCTACTGAGCCTGTAATCATATCCAAGATGCCTGAAGGTACCAACAAGAAGCCGTTGCGCATTTCCATTGGTGCGTGTTGACCCCTCAGTGTATCTCCTGCTGTAGTATTGACTAGTATGACCAGATCGCGGAGGAACCTTCACCGATTGTATTTGCAAAGTGATCAATGGGAACGATATTCTAGTGAAGATCTTGTCTGTCGACCCGAAGAACTATGCCGACGCGCCAACTGAGGCGATTCGTCGCGTTTTGGAGATACACTATAAAACTTCAATTCCACGAGGCTCTGAGCTTGATCTTAAGGACGTTGGTAAGAGTCATCGCCCAGAACCATGTTTAGTTACTTTGGTGCTAATTGAACAGAATGGATCCGCATGGGCACAACGGTTGCAACTAATGCGCTACTCGAGCGCAAAGGCGAGCGCACAGCCTTACTTGTCACCGAAGGCTTCAAGGACATCTTGTATATTGGCAATCAAAGCCGACCGTACATGTTCGATCTGTCAATTCGACGATCGAAACCGCTGTACACAGACGTCTTTGAAGTCAAAGAACGCGTGACGGTTGGGGCATGCAGTGACTCAAATCTCCGTACCGTGAAGCTGCAATCTCCAGAGCCAGTCGAGTCGATCATTGGTACCTCTGGTGAGGTTGTTCAAGTGCTGCAGCCTATCGACTTGGCAAGTACTCGAACTTATCTGCAAGATATATATAAAAAAGGCTTCCGCTCTTTGGCGGTGTGCCTCATTCACTCCTACATCTTCCCAACTCATGAGTTGCAGATTCGTGAATTGGCACTCGAGATTGGGTTTGAATATATCTCACTCTCACATCAAACCTCACCCCGACCAAAACTTGTCCCACGCGGAAATTCTACAGTAGTCGACGCATACCTGACTCCAAATATCGAACAATACTTGCAACAATTCTCCAAGAATTTCCCAAATATTGACCAGTCAGGGACGCGATTGGAGTTCATGCAGTCAGATGGTGGATTGGTGCCCTCGTCAAAACTCTCTGGGCTGCACTCTATTCTCTCTGGGCCCGCAGGAGGTGTCATCGGCTTTTCCCAAACATGTTTCGACGCAGAAGATCGGGTCCCTGTCATAGGATTTGATATGGGAGGCACCAGCACCGACGTTAGTCGATACGACGGCGAACTGGATTACATCTTTGAAACGACCACTGCTGGGATCGCGATTCAAGCGCCACAACTCAATGTGAATACTATCGCGGCTGGTGGAGGAAGTATACTGGCTTGGAAAGATGGTCTTATGTCAGTTGGTCCCGAAAGTGCCACCTCCAATCCCGGGCCGGCCTGCTATCGTAAACGAGGTCCTTTGACTGTGACCGACGCAAATCTGGCACTGGGACGGTTACTTCCAGGGGAATTTCCTTCAGTGTTTGGCGTTAATGAGAATGAACCATTGGACAGAGAGATTGTTCTCGCCAAGTTCAAAGATCTTACTCAAACTATCAACCAAGAGACGGGTAAATCACTGACGTGGGCAGAAGTAGCGGATGGGTGAGTAAAATCCAGAATACAAGCACCAGATTCGGCCACTAAGAAGTTTCACGCAGTTTCCTCCAGGTCGCTAACTCGGCAATGTGCGGACCCATTCGAAGTTTGACCGAAGCCAAGGGCTATGATGTTGCAAAGCATCACCTCGCGTCATTTGGTGGTGCAGGGGGTCAACATGCCTGCGCTATAGCCGAAGCCCTGGGCATTGAGAGAGTTCTGATCCATAAATACTCCTCTATCCTCTCTGCCTATGGAATTGGATTGGCAGATCTTGTGCACGAGGAAGAGCGGGTATGCGCAAAAGTCTTTGACGACTCTACGTCCAAAACGAT